TGCACTGAGCAGCATGATCTCCAGGCCCAACAGTGAGTTTAGAGTTGTCCTCTTCCAGGTGTGTCTGTAGGCTACAACACCTGGAAGGTGTTTTAGGGGTTGATGGTGGAGAGGTGAATGTCGTGACTCTTAACTTGAAACATTATAAAGCTAACACAAAAAACACAATGAATGAACCCACATAAATTGTATACAGTTTACCAAACATTTTATTTAAGAGAGAGAGAATGTGTGTGTGCGCGTGTGTTTTAAATGCTATAAACCATTTGGTTTAACTCCAATCTCCCTTTACAATGAATAGCTGAAGCCTTTGGCTGGGGGAGAAATTTACACCATGAAGTACAGACACTGTTCACTTTGGCTGTGTCACTTTGGCTTTATTTGTGGCTGATCCTCTCAGCCACTGCCTGGACCCATGTAACACCAGGATGGTGGATAGACCCCTCTGTTCAATAATTGACTCTGCAAGATACCTCTCCTTGCTCCTTGAGCAGAAGCATCTTTGAGTTTCATTGTTCTGTTCTGTGAAGTTTCTGGTCCATGTTGCGTCCTGACATTATGAGCAGTTCTTATCAGCCAAGGTAAATTTTGTAGGAAGAAGAGCCATTTCCAGTCTGAACATGATGAAACAAGATGCTCCTAGACTCCTCCTACCAACTGTTAGAGTTTTAAAACAGGCTAAATATAAATGAGGCTCCCAGACTACGTATGGTTCCCTCCCATGGCCTCTGCTTACTCCCATTATATAAACACTATTGGCAGTTTTTAGTCAAATCTCAAATGCTTAGAGAAAAACAGCTGTTAGACTAATGAAAATAGCAAGCTTTTCTTTGAGAAATGCTACTCAGTTTTAACTCTCCAGCTCTCTCTGAATATTAGGACTTTCCTATTTTTTCACGTGGTAGTAATTTGTTCTGCCTCTGGAAGCTCTCGTGTGTTACCCATATCTGTTTCATGGTGCCTGCTTCTGACTGTCCCTGAAGTAGAACAAGCTCCATGAGGGCAGGAGGCATGTCCCCAAGGCAATTAGTGAAGTGCCAGAGCAGGCAAACATCTGCTGTGGGAACAGAATGGCTGCCAACAAGCTAAGATCCACAGGGAGAATGTGGATGCCATTAGAATTGCTTTCCTTTAAGCCATAAAAAGGAGAGAGGGAGCCCTGGCTAGTGTGGCTCAGTTGGTTGGAGTGTTGTCCTATAAAACAAAAGATTGCTGGTTCGATTCCTAGTCAGGGCACATGCCTATGTTATGGTCAAGTCCCTGGTCAGAGTGTGTATAAAAGGTGACTAAAATGTTTCTCACATCGAGCTTCTCTCTCTCTCTCTCTCTCTCTCTTTCTCTCTCTCCCTCCCCCCCACCCCCACTCCCTCCATCCTTCCCTCCCTCTCTCTCCCTCCCTCCCTCGCCCTGCACCCCTTGTCTTCTCTCTGAAATCAATAAGCCTGTCCTCTGTTGAAGGCGGGGCGGGGGGTGGGAGAAGAAAGGAGAGAGGGAGTTTAATGCTAGGGCTCTTGAAAGAGAAAGGAGCATATGGTACAGTGATCTGGCCATGCAACTTGTAACAGTGTCCAGAGTTTGCCTAGAGCAAAACTGAGGATGTTTAAGGGAGAGAGGAGAGAAAACTTTAAGTGAAAAGGATCTAGCTCTCGCCATGTCTGCTACTTGAGCTAGCCACAATTGTTGAGCAGTCCTTTCATCCAAATTGCAATGCCCCAAAAGATGCAAGAGAAAAGCTGCCTACCTCCAACCTGTAGCATGTCCGGCATTTGAGCATTTATTGATTTGGTTGACCAAAAAGGTCCTGTTAAGTTTTTTCTATAAAATAAAAGACACATTTTTCATTTTCACCAGTAACTTTATTGATTGATATTTTGAGCATGTTGGCTATCTCCCACATGATATAACATTGATCGTTTTCAACCAATGTCTTGATTTGATCGCTTTCAACTTTAACTGGTCTACCAGATCATGGAGCATCATCCAGTGAGAAGTCTCTAACACAAAACTTCACGAACTGCTTTTGACATGTTTGATCAGTCATAGCACCTTTTCCATACACTGCACAAACCTTCTTTTGCGTTTCAGTTGTGTTTTTACCTTTCTTGAAATAATAAAACATAATGTGCCGAAAATGGTGCATATTTTCTTCCATCTTCAGTATTAAAATAGCTACACAAAAATTCACCAATTTTGATAAGTTTTTTTTAATATGTGCTGATAGGACAGCTGTCACAATACAACCTAACAAAATTATTTTGAATGAAGTTGAAGACAACTAAGCACTACTTGAGCCATCTTACGGAAAAAACCAAACGACCTTTTTGGCCAACCCAGTAAGCGACAGGTCTGCCGCACCCACCTTCCTAGCCCGCTCTCTCCTTCATTCAGTCTCCCTTGGGTCTCCCCATCGCCCGTCTTCTCCCACTCACTCCACATTCACACCAGATTCACCTCCATGCAAAGAAAAGAGTGATGCTAAGTGCTGTTTCTCTACACTGAATCCAGCTGTTTCTGAAAGTTGGAGCCAGGACAAACACATTAGCCCATTTTCCACCTTCAACTTCAAAAGCTAGGAAAGAAAATGCATCAGATAGAGTCTCCCTGCGAGCAATTTATAAGGTGGCTGGTGAGAGCCATGGACCCAGCCTTGCAGGGAATTCATTTCCACGTAAAGTGATACCAGGGTTATTTATTGGAGTGTTCTTCCTGCCAACAACTTAATACCGAAGTCAGCATCTGAAAATCCAGTGAGAAATTCATGCTGGAAACTGTGAATTAAAAAGGTCTTCTTGCAGGCTCTTCCTGACATTTTGGATTTTGCCTGGCAAGTTGATGTGACATGCAAGTCTCAGATTTTCTCAGCTTTAGGAGGTGGCTAGATCATGTTCCTGGTCCAAAGTGAATGTGATACGGCACGCTGGCCCAGAGACAAACCTGCTGCCCAGATCTTTCAAAACATCGGAGTTTCCCCAGAGATAAGCAAATTTGGGCCCAGCCATTGAAGTTTTGACTTGAAAGTTTGCCACTTCTTATCTCTTAATAATTTTTGCTTTAGAAAGTTTCCAGAGATAACCTCATTAAGATATGTGAGACTTGCAGTATAAAGAGACAGTGATTACAACATACTCTTCTAAGAATTGAATTTTGTTGGCTAATACCATAGTTCTTCATGTCAGCTCACTTCACGATTGTTTCCTGGGCTTGTTGTTTTTGTCCTGGTATGACACAGGCTTTTTATGTGAAGAAAAACAGCAGGGGCTTCAAGATAGGTGAGGGAACAGAGAAAGGGCAAGTGCCCGATGACTGGCTTTACATGAAGGAACATGTGCTAAGGACTTGGACTTGCCTTTTGAGTCCTGTTTGGTAGGATTTACTAAGAATCAACTCAACTGGCCAACTGCATACCATGACATTTACAATAGACATGCTTATGATGCTTCAGCAGTTTTTTTAAAAGTTCATTTAGTCCTGGCCAGTGTGACTCAGTTGGAGTGTCATCCTGTAAACTAAAAGGTTGAGTGTTCGATTTCTGGTCAGGGCACATGCCTGGATTGTAGGCTCGGTCCCCAGTTGGGGCATATGCACACGAGGCAACTGAATGATGTTTCTCTTTCACATCAGTATTTCTCTTCCTCTCTTTTTCCCTCCCTTCTTCTGTCCCTGAAATCAATAAGCATGTCTTCAGGCGAGGATTAAAAAAAAAGTCCATCTAATGTGCAACCACCTAATTGATGACCCCTGGGTTTAAAACTTAGCTTGGAAGAGAGAGGTTTATTAATATAAGGATGCAAAGTCATGAAGGTTTGGGCTGATCAGTGCTGGACAACAGCGGGGATCTGATTCCACTGGTGGGATCTTATTGCTTTAGGTTTTAAAAACAAGGTCCCAATTCCTGAGAGTGGGAGTGAGTTATGTGGCGTGGGAAGAAAGATGCAGAGAGATCGGAAACAAACAGCTCAGTTCCCATTTTCTGAGCTCACCAACAAGAGTGTGGACTTTCCATGGCCTCCTTTCATGACCTGACCTTTCTGTGGTCTGACGACCAGCCCTGCAGCAGAAGAAGACAAGCAGGCTGAAGTCCAGGGCAGGGGATGGGATGAAGAGAGGAATCCCTAGAACTTATTCCTCTCTTCTCTACCTTCTTTGTCTGCAAATCTAGCATTTTGGAGGGGGGCCATGTCTTAGCCACTGTTAGCTCTTAGCAGAGTGATGGGTGTGCGCAAGTGGCTACTTCACGGGGCGGGGAGCTGTCAGGGAGCCCTGTTTATGTACGTTTCCCAGGTCCAAGGTCTAGCCAAATGCACTGCAGATCTGGAGCCTCAGTAACCAGCAGTTCTGCAGTAATGAGCCATACTCTCATCACACTCATCCGTGGCAGAAAGCCAGTTTGTAACTGAGAGTGTGGAATGGACCTTACCAATAAGCCGTATATTTGCTATTTGGAATGCTCTGTCCAAGTACCAATGTACATAGCAGGGGGGACTGGCAGTCAATTAACAGTAGTCACATGAAAAATGGAGGATCCAGGCAAAGGCTTTGATCTAACAAAGGTGTTAGAGCCCATGAAGTCACCTCTGTAGTTCTGAAGTGCTCTTTTTAAAAAATCCAAGTGTTTGAAACCGTCAGATGCAGAATTTCCCTCCCGGTAGTAGCAATGTTGCTGCTACTGACTCTACTTCTTTTTCTTTACTGTTTACCCTTGGTCTTAGGCCTTTGGTCTGGGACTCAGTAGGCTGCTGCTTTATATTGTACACCCTTTCTATCTGAAAAGTTTTTTCAGACAACATTTCAAGCTGTATCCAGTAGAGCCATTCATTAAAGGATAAAAGAAATGACTTGTGTTCTTATCAAATTACAAAGTGGGCGCCGTCATGAAAAATACTAGAAACCACTCTTTTTCCATAAAGAAGGTAAAACCCAACGCACACGTTGTCAGCTCCCGGTGCTGGATGCTTCGGAGGGAAGCTCGGAGTGGCTAATGCCTGTGTCTCACCACCCAGGCCAGCGAGCGGCGCGTTCACCTCGTCATGTCGCGCCAGGTTCGTCAGCAGAGTCCTGACATCTTTCAGGAAGCCGGCTGGAGCGGCAACGGCAGCCGGTCCCCAGGGCCAGCGGACAGGAGCGACACTCCCAAGGTGAGGCCCAGCCAGGGTATGTCCACGGCTTCAGTGGGGGACTATTTCTTGGAAAAGCTGTGCACTTTAACATTTCTAAGGGTCCTCTGTGGGCTTTATCATTGAAACACTATGGGGCTTGTTTTGTAAAACTAAAAGCCCAAAGTCCCATCTTCAAGACCTGGTGGGATAACAGGTGTCTCCCATCTCTGCAGGAGAAAGGACAGTGCAGGAGAGTTTTGGAACCTGATCTTGCAGACCTTATATGGGGACCTAGTTTCTAGTCTACGCTAAATAACTGTCATTTTATTTTTAAAGTCATTTTGTTTAAGGACTGTTTTTCATTCACTTTGAGATGAAACAAGAGGTTTACTTGGCTTCTGGATTTTGAAGTTCCCACTCTGCCTGAAAATGAACAATTCCCCTGCTATTTTTAGTATGTTTGTTTTTGCAGAAGGACCCAGAAATATAATATAAACACTTGAAGTTCACATAACATTAGGGAGTGGTAGGTTTGGGAGTGGTAGGACAAAGCACATGTCCTATCTTATGGAATTCAAATCTAGGAAAAATTTTAAAACCTGCAGATGAAAGAATATATCTGTGGGCAGAATGCATCCTTCAGGTAAGCAGGCTTACATGAGATCACTAAGCCCAGTGTCTGCTTCTGTCTGTGGTCAGTATGAGAGGCAATGCCATAACCTCTCTGTTTGGACAAGTAACTAAGCAACACAAACCTTGCTTAGACCAAATTGACTCCTGCAGCCTTGGCGTGGCATCCTATTGTGATGGCAGTGAGTTTCCAGCCATCATTTCTTCTGGGATCTGGTTTCATTAAACCACTTGTAACTAAAAAATAAATGAAATAAGTAAGTAAATAAAAGTCTTACAGATATCCCAGTCTTCTTGCCTCAGGTTAGGAAACACCTACATCCCACATCAGGCTATGTTTCAGTTTGGAATAACTCACAAGTTTGAATTTTTGAACAATGTATGTAGAAACAGTCCACAGATTTTGATTTTGGGACACCTCTGCTTTGTAGGCTGTTAATTACACAGCCTGCACAGCTAGGCCCCTGCCTCTTTCACCAGCCAGCTGGCTGGCCAGCTGTGCCCCATAAATCCGTAAATTCCAGGTTTATTTATAATAAGCAGTCTCCCAGACCAAGTACCTCCTGCTAAACCACTTTATGGATAAGGACGCCAGGGTGTCTTTTCACTAATAAATACTATTAGTATGTTTAAATTAAGCTAATGCTATTTATTAATAGAGAACTAGTGTATTCTCAAAGTTTTAATCTAGTTAACTAATTATAGGTGAATTAACTAGACCATCTTATATTCTAGCTCCTTAAACCACTAAAATGAAGCTTCCACCAGCACTGTGGCTTTAGAGTCTCTCCCGCCTAATAATAATGAACCACGGAAAGAGCCATGATGAGCTGATCAAAGTTTTGCCGCATCCCTCTCTCTTACATTCAATTCCTGGAAAACAAGCATAAGTAACTGGCCTAGTGGGAACTAGCTATTTTCATTTTACTTTATAATTCTATCCGACTTCTGAAATGCTCTCTCACACACAGAAAATGGCCTGTTTAGAGTGAAACTAAGACATAGGTGGCTCTTTGATGATTTAGTGTTTTATGATCCTACTACAGTTGACTTTTGTTTAGGAAACAACGTGTCTTTTTTGAAAACAGGAGGTTAAATTACTCAAATACCAAAGAAGGCAAACCAACATTCGCGAGACAAAGTTTTTAGCGAATTGAACAGTTAAAGAATACTAAGCATCAAATTTAGGAGTGTGGTACCTTTGTAGGGAAGGAAAGGACTGTACCAGGCAGCGACTTCCACTATGCATGGAATATGTATGTCGGACACTGGGTTGCAAGGTACGTGGGCGAGTTGTTACATTCATCTCTATAATGTTTTTTTCTTAAATCCAAAGCAAATATTCTATAATGTATTTTTATTGCTGAGTGCAATAAGTACACAGGTGCCCCTGATATGTTTTAATCAGGTTAAACTGTCATGATAAATCATGTTTTAAACATTAGGAAGCCCCTGAAGTCTCCAAAGTAGGGAAGGGGCGTGGAGGGAAAACAGATGGAGAAGATCTCTGTTGTATTCAACTCTCCTCTCCCCAACCAAAGTGAGGCAGGGCCAGGTATGGAGGCTTCCTGGGAGCACTGGGCTCCCAACATGGGCATCTCCCAACATGGGCATCTCCTCTTCATGGAAGGCAAATGCTGTGGGAGACCCAGGACACGTGGACACAGAGATGTGATTTTTATTTGGGGCAGTCCAGGCATGTCTGCTGAGCCCGCAGTTGCTCAGCGAACCATGTTTGCTCAGTGCAGGAAGGCCATTCGGTAAGCACTGAGGACGTGAGGGGTCTGCCCTCCAGGAACGGGCACCTAAACGCACAAATAGCACAGCCCTGCGCCAGGAGGACACAGCCCTCCACGTCAGGCGGGTGGTTCAAATCGTACATGGCATGTGGTCATTTGAGAGAATTGGATTTGGGTTGAGTTCTCTAGTCAATGAACTAGATAAGCTCTTGCTGAAAAATTGGGTAATTAAATCTTTCATGTGTATTTCTAACTAATACCTGAAAATTGATCATTTAGGTCATGTGTTTAAATATCACCTTTAAAAAGCAAAATGGGATAGTGGAGCGAGCATGGGCTGAGACTCAGACATCTGGGTCCAAGGTCCCAATTTTCCTCCTTACATCTGTGTTTCCCTGGTCAGATTTTTTAAAATGTTGAGTCTCAGCTTGTCTGCCCTGACCTACTTACATAGAAAACAAATAATATTTCCTTCCTTTTCCTAAAAGTGCATCTGGCCAATCTGTACAATATTCAAGCAATATTTATTCACAACAAAATAATTAAAACCTCATGAATTCCAATTAACTGGGGTGGCAGGAGAGAAGCCAGTGTAACTTCCAGAATATTGCATAATACATGTAACTTTACTACTCTCAAAAAGAATTTTGTTTAACCCATTCTTTTTTTTAACCAAAGTATTCTCAGGTAAAAGTCCAATCTTCCATTTGATTACATTTCATTTAGTTTTCTGTTTGTGGGCATTCTTACCCATTTCAAGGATTACCTTGAAATCCACAGATCTCATAAGCTAATTACTATGACAAAACCCAAATGGCCATAAAAGATGTTCAAACTTACTGCAAAGAAAGGCAATTAAATTATTAGAATCTTTGTTTTCACCAGGGAAAATATTGTAAATATTGATAAAACTCAGTCTTGGAAGAATTCTCAGAAATCAGCATTTTCACAATGTATTCGTAAGATTATAAACGTAATAGAACTGTTTCCAAGGTAATGTCAATACTTATCAAAATGTAAAGTGCCCAGGCGCTTTGATTTAGCCATTGTCATTCTAGGACATTAGCCTAAAGAAATAGTTACACAAGTGCACAAGACACGTGTGTCTAAAGATGTTCATAGTGTTCCTGTTTAATTTCACAGAAGACTGCAAACAACCTGTCATCGGTGGGGGACATAGCATACCCACAGCTGTTCAAAAATGCTAGTGTGTATGAGATATATTTGTTTTTCAGAATATTCCGTATTGTGTGTTAGACGTCACCTTGGGAGATTGATCAGCTGTCCTCACAATACACATGCCCCACATGTGGAAAGAATGAAATGAAGCCCTTCTTTGTGAGCATCAGGAATAAATGCTTTATGAGCATTCCCAGGAATGAGCTGAAGCAGCAGGGCAGCCAGTAGGAGTCTTTGGGTTTAGAACTCTCGCAAAGCTGGGGGCATTTCAGAACTGCCTGCATCTCCAAGTGGGGTCCTTTTCAGAGATGTTTGTGATTAAAGGAAGGGACATCCTGCATCTAATTGCTTTTCAGAAGGGAAAGGTCATGTACCGAGAATGGATCTTGAGAGCCCCTCTAAATTTATCCCCTGGTCTCAGCTGGAGTGCTAGGACTATTACTTATTTGTCTTATTTTGAAACTTTTCTCTGAACAAAGTCCCATTTCAGTTTTATATCCTTCATCTGATAACCATTATCTTCCAGGTTCTGGGGTTTATATAAACACAATCCAGACCTTACAAGAACTAATTGTAACATATATCTTGCCATAATTATTCATAATTTTTGATTTATTATTCTATTACTACCAAAAACAATTTTTGGCAATTTGCAATTTATCCATCCATTTATTAAACAAACATGTACTTACCACCTTCAGTGTGCTAAATGCTATGTTCAATGCTAGGTATAGAGTAATGGGCCGTTACTCTCTACAGTAAGAACATTAAAACAGACATGGGTAACTTAAAACCATAGGAAATCATGAGATAATAAATGCACAAAAGCCTAGGCTTATCTTGCTTCATAATGAAGCATTCAAAATTAACCCTGTGCATGCAAGTAATAGTTCTATAAGATGCCAACCATCAGATTTATAGAAGTTTGTTTAATATTAACTTGATTCGTCAAATAGATAATATATATACAGAGTTCCGATGGAAAGGGTGTATTAAGGCTCTCACCTTCCCTGATCTGTACAGTTCTACCTTCCCCACAACAAAGCCACTTTTCCTTCCAGCTTCTTGATGAAAATGAAAATAGTTATACACATTCTCATTTTTCTCCCCTCCCCCCCCTTTTTTTAAAGTAGTACACTCACACTTTATTCTGTACCTTGATTTTTTTTTTAATCAGATATGTTTTTAAATTTGTTTTGCTTAGGTAAAACTGTAAGCTCTGTTTTGAGCCAGAGGCTTCTTTGAGGTTTGGTCAAGTGTTACAAATATTTATTTGCAGTGCACATGCCCACAATCTTAGTCCCCCGGGTCACTACACCAGGGGGAGAATACATTTTGTGTGGAGTAGATATTGACATGTATTCATTGATAAACAGTGCCCTTAACCTTCTCTATATTATTGCTTCAAGATAATGCTGCATATAGCTTTGCATGTTTTTCATCTAGCACTTGTTGAGTCAAAATAAATTCTCTTGATGTGCTTTTCAAAAGTTGGTCCACAAAGTATTCTATACAATGTGTATATTTTTATATTGATATATTTTTATATAACAAAGTGAAAAAGTACAACTGACTGCATATTATTTAGAAATGCTAAAGTAAGAGTAAAGATGCTAATTGAGGGGAACCTGGATATTGGTGACTTTTTAGAGTTGTATCTATGAAATCCATTATTCTTCTGAGAGTTTTTACAACTGATTACTTGCATAAATTGAAGTGGTACTAGTTAGTTAAAATATGGTTACTTTTTTTAACTTAGAAAAATTCCTGATATTCATGAATGACAAGAGTTTTATGAAATGTTGACTCACTATCAGGATGAATGAATCACTTGAAAAACTTTGGTTGCCATTCACTTCATACGCTTAGTATTTCTCCAGTGGTCTCCAACCTGCTCCTCCTTCCATTTTTCTGATCCTCTTGAAAATGTAAACTTCCTCTGAGTTGGCCTATAGAATTTGGGATGTCACTCTGCTGAGGGTGGGGGACAAAATGAGGGTTCTCTGTGTGTCCCTCTGTGAGACCAAGCACCTCCACCACCACATATTGTACATATGCAATTTTGGTAGTTTTTGTATGTAGTAAATGCAAACCCATGTTTGTTTTTCTTCTGCCTTTAGCCCCCCAATCCTGCGGTCACTTGTCATGAGAAGGTGGTTACTGTCCGAAAAGACCCCAGCGAGTCTCTCGGCATGACCGTTGGAGGGGGCGCATCACACAGGGAGTGGGATTTGCCTATCTATGTCATCAGTGTTGAGCCCGGAGGAGTCATCAGCAGAGATGGAAGAATAAAAACAGGTAAAAAGCAAAGAGACTTCAGGTTCTGGGCAGCAGAGTGTTAAAAGGAATTAGCAGCTTGCTGAGTTAGGTAACTGTTTCCAGATTTAACAAGAGGATGCGAGGGTGCTCTGGCCAGGACATCTGTTACCCATTGACCTTGACTGGTTTGAGGATAGTAGTTGCTGGACTGGGTTTCACCTTGCTTAGTTCATGTGGATTGAAGTGGGCACTATCTTGCTTGCTAGTAAAAGGCAAGTATTGCAAACTATGCCAAGAATAGGAAAATGCTATAGCTATGGAGAAGTTGCCTTGATTAGATGGTATAATTTGGTTCCCTTTATTCTAAATGATTCTTTGCTGGATTGATGCATCGTTGAAACTGTTCATGAATTGTTCCATTTTATGGGTTGGCTAGGAGAAATGACTGGATAGACTTGGATTGAATAAATATTAAGTGAAAGCACCATGCAATGGGTGCTTTGCCACTGGTGAAATGTCTCATTAAGACTGTGTCCCGGAAGCCTGGACTGAAGATGTCAAATGTGTACCCTTCATAATATTAATTCACATGAAGGGGTAGCTCAGGTGGTTGAGCAATTGTCATTTAAGGATTCAGATTCAAAAGATAAAATGTGAGAAGTTTCTGAAATACGATTGCTCAGTCTATGGAGGTGGAGGGGGATGGAATGTTAAGGGATTTAGTCAGCCAAACTAATGGTGCTTCTTTTGGAGTCAGAAGGACTCAAGGCCTTTCCGATATTTCCTCTCCTATTTTTTGCTCTTGCTGTGGTTATTCTGTTTAAAAAAAACCCCAAAAACTATTCAGAGGAGCCAGTAAGGGGGAAGAAGGGATACCGGAAAATGGAGGCAGGGGAGGTACGTATTTTAGTTTCTCTTGCGTTTTTGTTTGTTTGTGTGTTTTTTACCCAAGTACCTGGGTGGAGAATAATGAGGTCAACCAAGAAGTGACTTTTTAGTGAAAGAACAGGAGCAGAAGATTATACAATATGATGTATGGAAATGGCCCAGCATGCAGCAGGTGCTTAACCAATGGTAGTTCTTAGCACCTTTGCAGTGAATAGAAATGTAAACTCTTCTTTCCGCATCTGTCTGTCTGTCTATCTATCTATCTATCTATCTATCTATCTATCTATCTATCTATCTTGTTGTTTACTGCTCTTTGTTGGGGTGACACTGGTTAACAAAATGATACAAGTTTGAGGTGCACAATTCTATAACTTCTTTCCACCTCTTTAAGAACACAGTTCCATGGGCCATTTTCCTTAACTGCTATAGACTCCTCTTCGAGATACTCTTAGCAGTAGTTTGTTATTCATTCATTCAAGCTATGTTTATTAGGTGCCTACCATACACGAGGCTCTGTGCAGGTACTAAAGGCTTTTGCCAAGGGCTCTCCCTTTGTGCTAAAAACAGGAAACAAAGATGGAAATGTAGGTTTTCTTTGATTAAATGGTAAATGAGGCTAATCTTCCTTTTTCCCTCTTTTTATTTTGTTTTAAAGGCAAGAGCCAAACACCAGTGGGTATGCTTTAGAAACCTCCAAACATGACTTACTGTCTTGGAGAATGCATACAGTTCACCGTTTGCTATATGAGAATCCAGCCTCATGCCAATGCAAGAAGCTAATGACATGCCCCTCACCATTTGCTTTCCTGCATCCCAGTCAGGCCCTGCCCCTTTGTACTTTACACAGAAGGTCCTATTTGCACTCCTACTAAGGATGGCTTCTGCCTCTCTGACCATTAGGTGACATTTTGTTGAATGTGAATGGAGTTGAACTAACAGAGGTCAGCCGGAGCAAGGCCGTTGCACTGTTGAAAAGCACATCCTCCTCGGTGGTTCTTAAAGTTCTAGAAGTCAAACAATGTGAGCCCCAGGAAGACTGCAGCAGCCCAGCAGCCCTGGACTCCAACCACAACACAGCCCCAGCTGGCGACTGGTCCCCATCCTGGGTCATGTGGCTGGAATTACCAGGGTGAGTCCCAGTGCGACACTTTTGGGGAGGACACACAGAAAAAGATTTTGGGTGGCCCTAGAAAGAAACAATTTTATTACTTAGACCACTATTCCACTCTTGGGCTAATTTATGACACTATCATCTGAATGAACCCTGGGCTTGGTTGTGGGACGATTTGAAATAATTGTCTTCCCTTTTGTAACTGAAAATGCATGCAGAAATCATAGGGCAGGGACGAAAAGCCTGGATGTGGAAACCGCATTAGGCATTCACGATGAGTTGCTCGCAGGTCTGCCATGTACAGTGGTTTTGTTCAGGCAACATGGCACTCAGCTAATAGGGAGAGGAGGCTGAAATCCAGGGTGCTCACACCTCCTGGAGCAGGGACAGGTTCATCTTTCCCTCGTTTGCTAGGAGTACAGCCCTAGGAACTTGCATAGAGGATGACTGACTTCTGTGGTTTTACCTCTTTAGCTTTCGGGTGGCCCTGGCTAAACATAAAAGCAATACAGCAGAATACTTTACCTTCACTCACATGTTTAAGCATGTTGATTGAGGATGTGTTTGGTCTTCTCTCCCTAGTTCTACACTTGTGAGGTTCTTGTATAATCAGGAAGCAGCTGCACTGTTATTCTCATGAGACATGACTAGTCTTACAGTAAATCCATTTTTGTTTCATGTAGACACTTCAGGGAAGGATTTTGGGGTAGCCTTGCTCAATGGCCGTATACTGATATTAAATATTCAGAGGACAGATGCACTGGGGTTTGCGTATCTGCATCAGGGCATAAACTGTTGGCCTTCAAAAGATTCTTGCTAATTTCAAATGCATGATATAAATGTTAAACAGTGGAGTCACTGAGGATATGCTGGCTAGGATTAAATAAATGAATGAAAGCAGGATGTTTGGTTTAGTACATTTTTCTTGAGGGTGGAGATAGGACAGTCCCATTTATTTTTAAAATTTTTAAATGAGGTTGAAAGAAAAAAAAAAAAATCCCTGGCTCAAAAACAAACTGGCCTAGACTCCTTTTTTTGAGCCTTCAGTAATTGATAAATTTTAAATGAGTACATTTTAAACAGTTGAAAACAGCACTGAGGCAGTTTAAAAATCTTGGAACATTTTAGAACTGAGCCTTAGGTGGAGGTTACTTTTATTGTTAAAAAAATCTTTTTGAAACCATCTAATACGAAATGTAGAGGGCACCAAAGGGTATAGAGAGAATGAAAGGTCTAGTCTCCCACCTCGGCCCCCTCAGATCTGTTCAACAGGGTTAAGCTCTGTCACCAACTCCTTGTGTATCTTCCCAGGGAGTATCTATGTCAGGGGATAGCAAACTTTTCCTGAAAAAGGTCAGAGATTAGGTTTTGTGGGTTATACTGTCTCTGTCGTCACTCTTCGGTTCTGCTGTGGTAGCGTGAAAGCAGCCAGACAATAGGTAAATGAATGGACATGGTTGTTTATTTGCAGAAACAGGTGATGGGGCTGAGCTATACAGTCTGCTGACCCCTTGTTTATATATATCTGTATACACAGTGGTAGCATACACACTATTATATACCAATGATTTTTTTTTTAAAACCTAATATACCTTGGGTATCATTTCATGTCAGTACATATTAAGCTGTCTCATTCTTCCAATGACTTCATAGTACCCTATTGTTTTAATGTACCACAATTTACTGAATTGATAGTGGACACTTAGGTTGTTTTCCATATTCACTTTCACAAATGCTACAATAAGAATTCATAAGGAATGTACAGTGATAGCATCCAGTACCAATAGGACCTGGTTCAGTTATGGTACAACCATGTAAGTTTGCCTGGATATAATCAGATCACACTCTTTGACTTGGTAGTCATCGTATCACTGTTAACTAGCACCTCATTGTTTTCCCTGTGTGTGTGGCTTGGTCTTTTCACCTAACGTTCTTTTTCCCAGGAGTCCAGATATGTATTTGATATGTGTGCCACATCTTACATTCTCTCTTAAATTCTTTTCAACTGTTTATTTCCATTGTTTTCTTTGCTTATTTTGAACTGTCCTTCATATCCCTGTGTTTTCAGTGGTATCTTTTTGTAGCCACTTCTGAATTTCTCTCCCCCACTTCTATAAATTCATTTATTCTTGTCTTGTATCTTCCTTGAAATCTTGTATCTGCATTGATCTTATTATTTCAGTAGTTTAAGTTCACAGTAATATGGTTAAAATTTCATTTTCTTTAGCAGCGTTTCGTTTCTACAGCATTTTTCTGTAAGTAGTTTTTGTCTTACTGTTACTTTCCCACTTTTGTAGTGTGTCTGCTGATTCTTTAATCTTTGAGTCAGGAAAATTTTTCCTGGAGGAGCTATTTGCTGGAGATTCATATTCTAGGTGGTACGTTTTCTTTACTTCTCCCAAACCAACTGAGATTGGCCTTGCTGGGCCGCTCACATTGCCTGTCTTTCTCCTCCACCCTAGCACACCAACAGGGTACTTCCTGTCCAAATGGGTAGTCTATTTGGGTTATCACCTCATGTGTGCCCTTCTTCCCCACCACAAGGGGCCCAGGGAAGGTCTGCTAACAGTCAGTCTTCCCATTTCTGGTGTTCCCATGTGGAATGGGGGTATTGCCTAGCAGTGCTATCAGTGGGTCATTCACTATGGCCCCCCAGGGCCCCACCAGCTGGGACTGCACTCTGCAGCTGTGGGAATTCCCTCTTCCATCCTCCCTCTTTGATTTCCACTGCCTTTGGAAGTTCTCCAGCATATATGGTGATTCAGTTTTATGATGGAGTTTCCGCTTCTATTTGAGTCTCCTACTTGCTAATTTAGCAATTACTTATTTATTTTTTTGCATAAGACTCTCTTTCTCCATCCTTTTACTTTCAGCTTGTGTGTGTTTTTGCATCTAAACTGAGTCTCTTGTAGGATATTTAGTAATTTTTTTTAAAAGCAGAAGGGATACAACCAAAATAGGAGTAGGAATATCAATTATGTGTTTTCACAATCATGCCGCACAACCACCAGCTGCAAAACCTCAGTAGCAAGTTATATATTTAGAATTTGCCTGGTTGTCACAAAAAATCCCACTGATGATCTTATGGCTGAGTCCTGAATCAAAAAAGGAAGACACCACAAAGTTATTCAATCAGGCGCGGATGCTAGGGGAAGGTGACCGCTGGGGGCCCTCAATGCAGATTTTGCCAGAGTAAGGAAGAATGAGGAGGTGTTGTTTTGAACATGTTGAGTATGGGATGCTGGTGGGACTTCCAACTTTGATAAACACATCTAGAGCTGAAATTCCCAAGTTTCTGTCTCAAGACCCCTATACGACAGAACCTTTGTTTATATAGGTTATATCTAATAATATTTACCTTACGAGTTACTATGAAGAGTTTATACTTATTTAAAATAAAAAAACCTTGTTACATGTTAACATAATCTTTTATAAGAAAAGCAGGAGCTTTTTAAAAATTAGTGAGGTTAGCATTGTGTATTTTTTGGAAACCTCTTCGTTTGGCTTAACAGATGATAACTGGACTCTCATACCTGTTGCTAGATCAGTTATGTGTTCTGTGGAAAAATACCACTGTATGCTCACACCAAAAAAAGAGTCAAAAGGCAAATAATATTTTAATATTATGATAAAAAAATATATATTTTTTACCTCCATACCTGGAAAGGCACATAATTAGAGAACCACACTTTGGTAATGCAGGGAGCTCCGTGAAATATTGAGGTCAAGTGGGCTGAGGAAAGGGAAGCCCTTAAAGGAAGTTAGTGAAAGAACAAAAAAGCATGTATACCTTCTAGAGCAGCTGAAGACTTCACCATACTTATCAACTCCTTTCAACAGAGTTTAAATTACTGAGGTAACCCTAATTTTCTTATTTGGAAAAATTACTGAACTCCTTGCCCTCCTTTTTGCTTTGCCAAATCTTCAATTTGGACTAAAATAGGTTCAGAATAGGAAAGTTCACTAATAAATTCAGAGTTTAACAATGTTACTAACCAATGTTGTCACTTAACAAAACATTTCACAAGAGACTCTTTATTGGTTTTTCAAAAAGCAGTTAATATTTTAAGGTACAGTTTATAAACAAAACAGTTATCTTGATTTTTTTAAGTCAACATGTTTACTTTCTTTCAAACTAGTTTCTCAAATCGGGGTTTTAGAGTCAAAGCCAGCTCCTGACATACAACCTCTATCGTAACTGTAATACAGTTTGCATGTAGCCTGCACTATGCTAGCACTTACCCAGTGGCCACTGAATAGTAAAAGAAAGCTGCTTCAACCTGTATTTCTATTTTGGCTGAGGAGTCTACTCATTTACAAATACCTGTGGTCTCTCCTTCTCCCATTCCTTTTACAACTTGCTATTCTGCTTACTGCCAGTTTTCTCTCCTATATGAATCATTCTTATAATCTTTAAATGTACAATTTCCATTCACTCTATGCCTGCATGTGTCTTGATAACCTTTATTAAATATGTAGAACTACATATAAACTAGTATTTTTCAAAAGTCCAAATTTCAATAAATGCATTAATAGAGTAGGTTTAATTTTTTTCAGAGATTAATCGTTCAAAGAATTTTGCCTTCATTAAAAATTATATCTAAGTAAATAAAAATGATATGCTTGAATTTGGGTCATCAGTAAGGATTTATGCATATTCAACTTTTAATATAAATGGAAGCATTAAATCTTCATCAAGCCAAAAAATATGATTATCTTTCCCAGTAGACACATAGGCAAAACATAATAGATGGTGTAATTTTTAAAAGTGTGTTTAGCAATGGAAAACAGAAGCTCAATCAACGGGCTATGACATAATTTTGAGTGAGACCCATCCAGTGCTATTTACCCTAAAAAATAATGTCAATAAAGGCAATGGGAGAGAAAATACAATAATTATTAACTATGAGTTCAACTTAACTGTGCTTATATATTGTTTATATTCTATTTCAGGTACCTATATAACTGTAAAGATGTTATATTACGAAGAAACACAGCTGGAAGTCTAGGATTCTGCATTGTAGGAGGTTATGAAGAATACAATGGAAACAAACCTTTCTTTATCAAATCCATTGTTGAAGGAACACCAGCATACAATGATGGAAGAATAAGGTAATGATAACAACTATTTGACAAAAAATACCTTATACATGTAAAAGCTTGGCCCAACTTGAAATAGGGCATGTATTTATTATACCTAATTGGTAAGAAATTAAACACATTTATGTAGCATTCAATTTCTAAGAAATCCAAAATGATTATAGTTACTTGGTCCCATAACAGCAACTTGCTTTACTTTTGGCAACCCTTCTAAGGCAAGCTGAGTGGATAGTTTGCAGAATTTAAGTGAGAAGGGGAGAGAAAAAAAAATCTTAATGAGTAATAATGTTATTAAAATTGACAGATGTAGCAAAAATTAGGACCACCAAATAAACTTGAATTAACTTCCGGTATGGATCAAATGTGAATCATAAACCTTGTTTTGTGTATTTTGTTTTAGATGTGGTGATATTCTTCTTGCTGTGAATGGCAGAAGTACATCAGGAATGATACATGCCTGCTTGGCGAGGATGCTCAAAGAACTTAAAGGAAAAATCACTCTGACTATTGTTTCTTGGCCTGGCACTTTTTTATAGAATGATGGGTCACAGAAAAAGAGAAAATCACAATTAAGTTGAAACAATATATTTATCTTGTCAATTTTTGTATTTAAAGGATACACTGTAAAAATGTGAACTTTAACGTCAGCAAAAGTATGATCTAATGGAAGCCAAATTACACCTCAGAAAATATACTTCTCCAAACATAAGATTACTAATAGTTTTTATTCAGTGTGGAGGATTTTGCATCACTCAACTTTATATTTTTCTATTTAATAAAAAGCTCTTAAACAGCTGAAATGATCTGTATGCCCCCAATGAATTCGAATCATACAACTAAATTAAAAATCTGGTATATGCTGAGGTCTGCAAAGATACATTATGGGTTTTTTAAAACAATTTACACCCAGAGGATTTTAAAAATGTATGGCCGAAAAATGTTCCTTTCGTCAAATGAGAAATAAATATTTTAAAAAATTATAGGTGTCATTATGTGATACTAAATTCATTTCTGTACCACTGTCTAAAAGATCCTAGTAATTCTTTCAGAACCATGTTGTTACCATCACTGACAAATACTTTCTAAGGGTTAATCCTGAAAATGCTCACAGAATTATAAACTTGTTTTTTCTTAAATAGGAAATAACTAAAGCTCCTGTCACGTTTCACAATATAGTAACTATAAAAAAAATCATCACACTGCTCAACCAATGATCCTTGGGAAAAGCATCAAGAAAGGCCAAACCAGCTTGACCCTGGCTCACACAGATGGCCAGGAGGGAATTCAGTCTGTATCAGTGACGGGTGTCCATGTGCCTGTTAGAAACTGTACTTAAGTTATTTCACAGAGGCTGGCCAAATACCATTAGATTTTATTATTTTGGATATAAAAGTTCCCTGTTTAATTTCACCATGAACCCAGATTTAGAACACTGAATACCTGCTATCAAAAAGTTAATGATACCAAAACTGCGTGAGTTCTTTAACATGCTAAGCAACAGTGCCACAGAAGTAATGATAAAAGACTAGTCTTAATCTCAAGACTCAGCATGTGCCCTTGGATGCCTTTTGCAGTGAAACTTCTTGAGAGACTAGTATTTGATTAACTCAAGAAAACTATGGCCAAGGTGGAACCTTCACCTTCATTAGATACTGGTATATACACAGCTAAACACAGCTCTTTAAATTCCCGGCTCAGTGACCCATTTACATTACCTTCTTGGATATAAAGTCATTGCTGTACTATTTTTTAAATATTACAAAACAAAGATTTTTAACTTAACATGAAAAATTCACTCTTTTATTTCGGAAAAAAGTTTTTTATACTAACAGAAGATTAAAGGCAAATTTCTTAAACATTATCCAGAAAAATAAACAAGATTTGTAGTATCTATTTCTGGCACTAATATACACAAAAGGTTATACCATGCCTATTCTGCAGGTGCAGCTTCAGTGCTCTCCTGTTCAGGGGCAGGCTCACTACCAGCTTCTTTTCCTTCTTTGCTTCTTTTAGACTTTTTGTGCTTGTGTCTCCTGTGACTGTCTCCTTCTTCACTTTCATGGCGACGTCTACTATTACTGGGGAAAAAAAAGAAAAGGTTCTTAAAAATGTTTAAGTACACAAGTGGTGACAAAAATCAATCCACTGTGTCTAGGTAAATCCTCAATGCTGGGTATTAAAAAACTTAATCCATTATTTTTCTCAAACACATTTTGGGGAGCAATCAGTTTCTGTAACTTTTATGTTGAGATTATATTTACATTATAGGCTCATCTTCACCAATTATTTCCAGGGCATGTATATTTTATTTTGAAAGACAAATTACAAATGAGAAACTGAAGCACTAAATCAGAAATACTTTCTAGGGTTTATTTTAGACAAATAATAGGCATTAAAATTTAATTATTTTTTTTGGTGGGGGGACTTACAAGGCCCTGAATTTTCTTTGATTAAACTGCTTTAATAATATTTACTATTAAAGACTGGTTCACATGCCAAATTCCCTCCTCCTAATAAGATAATGTAATAAGCCTAATTCTCTTATATTGTTTTATATTTCATGCTAACTTTGGCTTACTGGCATTAAACAGTTTTGTTAGATTTAAAAATCTGTGTTGAAGTCTATAAGGAATCAACTTTTTAAACAGATTCTTAATCTTCTAATTAGGAATACATATGCTCTACTGGTTATTAGGAAATCTTTGCCTTTACTTCCTGAAGTAAAATCAATTTCACTCCTAGATTCAAAGTATTTCACTATTTTATTAAAGAACAAACCTTCGAGATGACTTGTGTCTTGTTTCCTCCTTCTCTCTGTGCCGTCTTTCTCTATGTCGTTCTTCTTTCTCTCGGCTTGCTCTGTGACGCTCGTAGCTTCTGTCTGCGTACTCCCTGTATCTGTAACGTTCTTCATCACTGAAATTGGAATAGAAACAACTTTTCTTGACAACTGGGCTGTTAATACTTAATGATTTCAAACTGTAAAAGATGTGACTTGAGTTCAAGCCAGAAGGCCCCACATTAGCACCTTACAGAGACTACATGCAAGATGGTTGTTGAACTGAGAAGGAAATAATGACGCCATTCCCAAATCAGTACTAAATCTAATACAAGAATACAAAATACATGATAATTATGCATCACATTAAGGGACCAACTTCATTCTGTGTTTTTACAATTGTTATGGGATAGAAATTTTATAAAACATTGCTGTTTTCTTCAAAAATTTGGAGCTATAGTTTATTTACATTTTAATCAGTTTTCTTTTACTCCTTTTAGAATGAAAAGCAAGTTTGTATATTTCAGATATCCAAACCAAAATTCTTACATTACTTGTAAAATATTGGGTACACAGTTGAGATTCTGAAAATGTATTTTAAGTTTTTTGGCTCACAAGGGCTACATAGTAGGAAGTAGATGGTTCTTAAGTTTGCAATCACAGAGTACATTCATCTAATAAAGTGGCGTAAAATGAAGAACAGAAGGAAATCAAAGCAACTTCTATAACGTCCACACAAAAAGCTGCCTGTGGACACACACAGTTGCATTCTGACATCCCAGTTACCTAATACAATATGCATGGGGTGAAAAGAAGGAACTCATATGGCTAGTAGCTTCAAATGTATGAGCTTCAGCTGCACCTCCACTTTTTGACTTTGAAGAGAATGGACTGGTACAACTGGGACTGAGGGCTGGTCTCATTTCACCTCCCTAACCCTGTCCCCTCTTTTCATGTCCCTTCACCGACATTTTTCTCTCCACCTTTATGTTAATCCTTTAAAGTTTCTTATTTTCTTATTTTTTGTTCAGCAGAGAAGTCAATACTTTCTACAACTTAATATCAGTAAACTCAGAATAAAAATGTCTTTTAGAGCACTGTGTTCTGAAGAGCCTTGGTTTCTAGAAATACATGTTTAATATGAATTGTTAAACTTTTCTGAAGCCATCAAGGTGTTGAGAAACATGTTTAATATGAAATTGTTAAACTTTTCTGAAGCCATCAAGGTGCTGAGAAATCTGAGTAGGAGTAATAGGCAATAGAATCAGGTGAAGGTATAAGCAATGTAAAAGAACAAATCTGCCTGTGGTCTCCTAGCAAAATGATGCAGTAGTGCTATGACTAATGCAAGTCCTATTGTTGACCAAGTTATTAGTTCTTTGATATATTAAATTTTAAAAACATTTTATTAAAACAATACATTAATATACATATATATATCTGTGTGTGTGTACATATGTATGCATACACACTATATTTTCTAACCATAAATACGTACTTTGTATTTGGAAGGTGGAAGTAAGTCATCTCAAAGGCAATGTGCCACGACAGACAGTGCAGAGTAGAGGGAACAATACAGGCAGAGTGGGCCCAGGTTCACAGCCTGATTCCACTACTTTCTAAATGTGTGACCCAGGATATGTTACCTAACCTCTCTAGACCTCAGCTTTCTCATCTGTAAAACTGGCAACAATCTTTTTCAGGGCTGCTGTAGAACTGGCAATAACATTTACAGAGTGCTAGGTACAAGAGAAGGCACTCAATATAAAGCGCTTAGGATGTATGTGAACGAAATTATTTTGTTCAGGTTCAGAGGAGCTCACAGAAGACAGCTGTGAGCTGGACCTTGAAAAATGAATAAAAGTTAGTGAGGCAAAGAGGTAAGAAATAACATGAGCAAAGGAAGTAAGAAATGATGAGGGAGTCCCTGAACAGCAACCAGTTCTGTGTAGCTAGAACATACGGTGCATTGGCTTGGGAGAGAACGGGGGTTAAAATGCAGAAAGGCACATGACTTGTGACTTGTGGATCATAAGAAGAATTGGGAGTTTATTTTTTAGGGCAGCAGTACATGCCGGTTCCACAGACATGTATGGATTCTTCTCAATGGCACAGAACATTTGCGGGAATCAATTTCCAGATCCCCAACTTCCATATTTATTCTTCCCTAAATCTGAACTGCCTAATGACACATCTGCAGGTAAAACATCATGCCACTTCTCCAACTAACCTCTTCTCACAATCACCCTCTTGGCCCTTTGCAAAAGAAAGGCATTCCTTTCACCAGTTTTACTCTGGTACATTGGCTAAGGCTATAAAAACCATCGTGGCATCAAACAGATATCTAATTTGTAATATTATTGCCAGTGAGACCTATTTTATTCAAGGAACCATAAATATCTGTGGGGCTAAGAACAAAATATGGAGTAAGAAATGAGATTTCTAAACTTCATATATGCTGTAATGTCACGGGAGTCATAACAATTTTTCCTGAACTAGTAGAAGCAAAACAATCCTTTTGAAGAAAAGCGAAGTGTTGGAAGGCAGTACCTTATTTTGAGCTCCGTGACTATTTTGTTCATTAGATTTATATAGGGAATATAGGTTAACTCATTTGAATAGAAAAATGAAGCCAGATTTTTTCCATTAGAAACCGAATGCTATTTGGCTGTCTGACTTGACACCGAGAGCTGTCTTTTACCACAGAAGCTTTAACACATATAAAGGCATTTAATTTTTTAAAGATACTTTTGGCCAAGATGCATTAACAGCACTTTGATTTTCCCAAATCTTTCTGAGCATTTTAAGTTAAATGGTCTTGATAAAGCCCTTTAGGTACTCTTCCAAGAAACTGAGAAAACTAAAACTTTAATTACTGAATGAATTGGATTGAATTGAGTCTCCCAAAAAGATATGCTCAAGTCCTAACTACCATGTTTATGAATGTAACCTTATTTGGAAACAGGTTCTTTACAGGTGACATCGAGTCAAGATGAGGTCATACTGGATTAGGTTGCGCCCGAATTCAATGACTGATAGTACTCTAAGAGGGAAATTTGGACATAGATACAGAAAGGCGAATGCCATGTGAAGACAAGACAGAGATTAAAGTGATGCATCTAAAAACTAAAGAACACCAAGGACTGCTATCAACCACCTGAAGTTAAGAGACAGGCATGGAACAGATTCTCCCTCAGAGTGAACAAAAAGGAACTAATCCTGCCAATACCTTGATGATATCAGTCTTTTAGCCTCTAGAGCTCAGAGTAAATTTCTGTTCTAGGTTACTAGTTTGTGGTACCTTTGTACAGTAGTCCTAGCAAACAATTACACCGAGTAACCAGTACTTTTAAAAATCAGGTCGTTTCCAATTGTGCTCCCAAGTAAATCGAATCAGGAGTTGATAGATCCTTAAAAATAACTTTTGGTGATAGGTTATGTACTTTTGGCATGTCACTAAATCTAAAGGTGCTCAAGTAATTGAGTGATGGAGCTACAACAAAATTCTATTGATTCGCACATATTTTATGTGAACAAGGTTTCTCAACACTTACAACTCTATTTTTTAAAAAGAAATATATTTAGTGACAAAGTGTTTTTTCTTAACAATAGTAATATTCATTCACAAATATATTAATTGGGGATAGGCAGAAGCTCCACTACCACATTAAGGAATGTAGTTCTATTAAATTAGTTTCCTAATTTATATATAAAAACGATAAAACCATGAAAAAAATTTTAACTAATTAAATTCTGTAAGACATTTTACCATACATAAGTATGTTATAGGAAAGATTGACAAGATGACCAATTTAAAAATATTGTCTTAAGAATAAAAGTATTTTACATTAGAATAAAATTCTTTTGGGGAACTAATTCAGAAATAAGAATTCAACCACAAAAAGAAATGTTTAATTTTCATCTGTTGAAGAAAGCCTGTTGATGTACTTTTTAAAAAAATGGATGATGTTTAGCAAATCACTATAATGTTCTTAGCCCATTGCATATATTTAAAAGGATGACAATTTTATTTTAAAATGGTAAGTTTATAATACACTAGAAACTATATATTGCCAACTATTTATATTTAAGATGAAAATTTTAGATGACAAGGTATATGAGGGGATACAAAGTTTTCAAAATTCTTTTAAGGGAGAAGAGAACAGATCTGAAGACTATTGCTTTAGGTAATGAGAATCCTATGAATTAAATAGCCTTGATGCTTTTAAAATGGCTATCCTAAATAGTCTTCAAATAATCCTTTCCCAACTGAACTGGATTTTCCATCTTATTATCAAATATAAATTCTAAAGTGCACATTAAATACCAATACACATGTACAGACTCCTGACCACTCTGCACACCTGTTGAAAACGCTCGGTGTAGGGCTGTGATCACGCTCCCTCTCCCTCTCTCTGGTGCGCTCTCTTTCTCTGTCCCGATCACGATCTCGATCTCGGTCTCGGTCTCTGTCTCTATCTCGGTCTTTCTCTCTTCTTGAGTAATAGTCCCACTGCTTGCTGGTGTCCACAAGACTAGGCCACGAAGGAGCGGAACCAGGAAGGTGGGGGAAGGCAACTAAAGGGGGGAAAAAAACCCAGAAAACAAAATATAACAATTAGAAACAAGTTATGGTACTTAAAAAACAAGAGAAAATTACCGCCAAAAAGTACTAAAAAAATAAAAACAAAACTCCCACTAAAAGTACTTCATTACATTATAATGAAAACATAACTAGAAAAGAGAAATGACATATAGTAAATATTCACAGATTGGGGGAATATCGAGAAACAAATCTTAAAGACCTAACATATAAAGACACTCCTTTTTGCAACGTGAACAGGAACCAGAAATAGATACACCACAAACTTGCCAATATCAAAAATGTAAATCAGAATGCATTAGAACACCTTCAAATTATTGAGGAGATAAAACCCTGAAACATGTACTCAACATATATTTCAAAAAAAAAAAAAAAAAAAAAAACCAAAGGCATTAATAGATTAAACAAAAAAAATGAGCAAACATAATCAGAGTTCATAAAAAGAACTTTTATCAGATAGCTGTATAATGCATTTTAAGAGAAACTACTAAAAAAAAATGTATAATTTCAAAACATAGGGAAAAAGAATTTTTTAAAAATCATCAATTCAATTTTTAAAAAACTTGGAAAACCTAAGTTTATTAGCTCAACAATAAGAATAACGCAAAAGAGAACAAAATTCATCAGTTATATAACGGAATTTGACCTGTACTTTGAAAAATTCTGACTATATTTTGAATAAAAGACACAAGAACACAAAATGGTTGAAAGTAAAGGATGGTAGGGAAAAAAAACATCAATACCCCTCAATCTCCATATGAGTAGCTATATTAATGACAAACCAGACTCATACAGAAAGAATTACTTGGGAAAGAAAGGATTAACTACAAGAAGATGAAAAATGTTAACTCGCCATGAAGACAGAACAAATTAAACATCCAGGTATCTAACAACATAGCCTTAATTTTTGGAGAGTAAGAGCTAATAGGAATAGAAGTAGAAATATTCCTATGATGATCATGGGAGAATACCCTGATACTTTAAGCAGACAAAAAATTGCTATAGATATATAAGATTTACACAAAACACTGTTAACAAGGTTGATAATGGACCTAACAGAATACTGCCTGTAATAGTCATTCTTCTCAAGCACATATGAAATATTCATAAAAATATATTATGTACTTTCAGAGGATAAAATACACACTATGTTCTCTGACCACTATGCAATTTAAATTAGTAAAATTTTAAAATTTTTGGGAAAATAATCTTAAAACACTTCAAATGAAAATCACATTTCTGATAACTCAGGTATCAAAAACTTTTTTTATCATTTAGGAATTGAACATAAACATCAAGTATCTAGAGATGCAAACTGCTGTGGAGGGAAATTTAATCTTTAAAAACACTACATTAGAAAAGATGGAAAATTAATGAACTAAGCTTACAACTTAAGAACTTAGAAAAGCAAGGATAACATAACCGAAGGGAGACAATAAAGATAAAAGCAGAAATCAAGTAAACGGAAAACTACCACACAATTTAAAAAGGCAGGAAGTTGGTTTTTAAAGACTAGACAAAACATGACAATCTCTGACAAGATTACAAAAGAGACCACATAAACAATATCAGAACCAAAAAGAGATCACAACTATAGATGTTGCAGAGATTAAACATGCATAGAATACTATACATTTTAAACCAACACATTTAAAAACTTCGCTGAAACAGACGAATTCTTAAAAATAAATTACCAAACAAAACTCAAAAATAAAATCTTAATCATCCTGTAAATATTAAAGATATTAAATCAGTAATTTAAAACCGTCTCACAAGATCAGATGACTTTTACAGGTTAATTTTTATTAACTTATAAGATATAGACCATTCTAATATTACATAAACTTCCAGAGGACAGGCAAAAAAGATCATTCTCTACCTTATCCCATGTGGCTTATATAACCTTAATATGGAAAGCAGTGTAGGATATTACAAATAAAGTAAAATCACAGACAAATCTTACATATTAATTTAGATGTCACAATCTTAGATAAATCAGTATTTTTATAAAAAAGTAATCAATCATGACCAAGTTAGAAGTATCCAAGAAATTAAACAGTGGCTAAATATTAAAAAAATATTAGAAATTTGCCACATTAGAGAAGAACAGTATGATCATTTCAGAAAGCATTTGATAAAAATCAATGCCCATTCAATTTAAAAGCCCTTGGAAAACTAGAAGAAATTTTCCTTAATCTGATGTAGGGTTCTATTAAAAACCTAACAGTAAAATTCTAGTAGTAAAAATTATAAAAGCAAAGGAGGGGGCAAGGGAAAGTGGTGGGGGGTTGGCAATAAAAAAAAAATTATAAAAGCGTTTTTAAAAAAGGTATTTCAATACTTCAACATTATATGACATTCTTAGAACACACAGAAGGGGGGGCATATAAGAATCTGAAAAGGAAAAAAATCATTATCTGCAGATGTATAATATCATCTAAAGAGACTTCACAAATTATAGTGAGAGTTCAACAGGTAACTGACTACATGATCAATATCTGTATCTTTATCATTTATATCTCTGTATATATTCTATGTTTATATATTCAATATTTATATATTCTATATTTATATGTTCTGTATTTATAATTCTGTATCTAAATATAAGCAAATACAAACAGAACACAGAGTTAAAATGAATATACCACTCGCAACAACAAAAACATTAGATACCTATGACTAAATCTAATCTAAGATGTGCAGGAAGTATATGGAGATAATTCTAACACTTAACTGAAGCACATTAAAAAAACTCCTTAAATGGAAAGTGAGTCTTTGTTCATAAATGAAATCATGTTCTAAGGTATAAATTTCACACAAACTTATCTACAGAATCAACTGAATTCCAATACTATGATACAAGAGCAAGGGCTCTAGAGCCAGGCTGTATGGTTTCAAATCCCAAATCTGCCACTTCTTATGTGATATTGGGGAAATTACTTAATCTGGTTGTTCTTTAATTTCCTCAACCATGAAATGAGGATATTAACAAAATGCCTACTTTATAAAGCTGTCAGGATTATATGAGTTAACAGTGTCTGTCATATTAATAAACTTAATATAAATGCTAGTTATTAATCAAAATCTTAACAGTTTTTCATGGAAACTTGTAAAGTTGATTGTAAAATGGATATGTAAGAGCAATGGCTCAAGAATACTTCTAAAGCTGACTAGGTATATTCTGCTGAACCAAATATCTGGTTTACTATAAAATTTAAAATTAAGATAGTATGGCATTATTAGCACAATAATAGTAGTTAAATAAACCAAGTAAATAGTCTAGAAGGCAGAGAAACAGATTCATGCATCCATGGAAACTGTGATACATAAATGGAGATTGTATATCCCTCAGGAAGGCTAGACTATTTAACCAATTGCATTTGGACAATTATACCTTTAGATTATAACACAGGCAAAAATTAGTTTTCCAGATGAGTGAAGGATGTACACATGAAAAACAAAGTTTGAAAACTTTTGGGGGAAAATATGTATTGGGGAGTATTTTTTATATACTCGAGACTAAGAAAGCCATGATCCAAATATGAACCCAATTAAAATGTGGTATGACTTCACATAGTTGATAAAGTATATGACGATTAATTTTAATATATCGGCCATAGGAATGTTCTCTTTTAAGTGGCTTATTATAATTACCTCTAAAATACACAATAATTACACAGTCATAATAATGTAAACAAGGTTATTGTTTAGCTTTTAGAATAAAAAGCTAACTTGCCAGGGCACAGATAACTTTGGTAACAGGACAGAATGTATATGTTAAAAGTAAGACTATAGCTGAACAAGGTTGGGAGGCAAAGTGGAAGGAAGGGTGAAAGCTGAGAAAGATGCACAGTAGCTGTGATTGATGGTACAAGAAAAAGGGGACAGGTATAGAGGAACAAAAACAATGTTATAATTTCACTGGTGAGGAAAAGGAGTAGAGACAGTAAGTGAGCAAAATACACATTTATCATAGTAGAAAAACAGCACATGGTATCTGAATTTATATAAATTGAGAAACAGGTGATGGCCCTGGCCAGGTAGCTCAGTTGGTTAGAGCATCATTCTGATACACCAAGGCTGATGGTTTAATCTCCTGTCAGGACACATACATGAATCTACCTCTCTCTCCAAAACAGAATAAAAAAAATCAGTAAGTTAAAAAAATTTCTAAAAAGAAATATGGTGATAAGCTTATGTAGAAATGCTATGGAGACTATCAGATCTAAAAACCATTAAAAATGCTTATGTTCTTCCATATTCCCACAAAAGATTACTATTAAATTAAGCCTTATTTTATAGGTATAATCTTAATATGCACATAAAGAAAAATTAGTATTTCCACCTATAATCAGTAGTATTTAAGACTTATAAAATTCTAAAATAAAACAAAGCTAAGACAGAATTACATCAGGAAGCTGTATTTACCATCTTCATTCCAAGGTTTTGTTGTTTTTTTTTTTTTGACTAGAATGAAGAAAATGCCTAATTTTCCTCTACTTAAATGTTGCAAAAGGCTTTATAACTGTTATTACTTAAAAGTCCTTTATTTAAAAAAAGTCTCAAGAGTTGGGGTTAGTAAACAGTGAGCAGAAAAAGCTTGCTTTGGGGATTAAAATTCTGCATATATTACTTTCAGAAAAAGTTAAACACTTAAGTATTTTTATAAATGAAATATTTCACAAGGAAACTGTGTAAGTAGTCAAAAATAAAGTCCTATCTTTCTGATATGAGGTATTCCTCATGCTCATTTGTATTGAAACAAATGCACAAGTAATTTAATCACAAACCACAAAAGGACAAGTGCCATAAAAGGTAAAATTTTAATTTAATAATACTTCTCAAGTATTCACATATTACAGGCACTGTGCTTAGCACTCTGTGTTCACACTTTAATTTACAGATGAGAAAAATGATTTAGGTTATTTAATTTATCCAAAGTTACTAAGGTCAGATGGACCCAGAACCCAAACGCAGGCTCTCTAACTGCAGGGTCTATGCTTTAATACTTAGGCTACACTGCCTCACAGTGTAGAATAGGAGAGAACTTGGAGCTTGTGCTTGGAGCCTGGAGCTTGAAACAGCCAATATCTGAGTGTTTATTACATGGAAGGACTAAGGTGCTTCAATGTATTCTCATGGAACTTTATCTTATGGGAAAAATTACACTTTCCACTTAATGGTTGAAAATCTACAAAAGCCACAAAATAATGAGAGGGTAAAGCAAGAGTCCAACTCAAGCAATATGACTTCCTGAGAGCCCAGAATTTAAAAGAAAAAAAAAAAAGGTGGTATAATCAATGAAACAAGTCAGTCAACAGAAAGACTACCTTTTCATGTGAATGAAGGCAAATGTGGCTTTGAACAAGGGGGGTCTGAAGGACAGTAAAACCCTCTAACAGAGATACCTAGAAGATAACTATACGACTGATACCTATACTGTGTAAGCCTTTAAACTATTCTGTTTTCTCCACCTCCAGTGGCACCACTACCTGAAAACAGGACACTGTAATTTCTTCCCATGGATTACAATTGTGTGCCACTTAACAACAGAGATACATTCTGAGAAATACATTAGGCAGTTTCCTTCTTGTACAAACGACACAACAGTACACTTACACAGATGGTCCAGCCTACTACATACCTAGATCTGGTATAGCATATTGCTCCTATGCTACAAGCCTGTACAGCATGTTACTATACAAAACATAAGACTAAACCAAGAACAGAAAATGAAACAATCAAGAGATGTAGCAAATGCAAAATGCATGAGGCTGCAAAATGTATGAGGTGTTACAAGGCATTACTCTTTTACAGCAATCTGGTTTTTTTACGTAAGTAGAAAGAGTACACTAACATAACTGTATGTGCTATACTTTTATAAAACTGGCAGCACAGGTGTGTTTACACCAGCATCACCATGAACATATGAGTAATGCATTACACCAGCTATGACGTGGCTAGGCAATGGAAATCCCATGGGACCACATTCACATATGCGGTCCAGTTCATCATTGACATAAGGGTCCTTATGCAGCACATGAGTGTACTACAATTTCTTGTTCTCCCAATCAAGCAGGCCTCTCAGCCATTCCCGCCTTCCTACTCCCAACAATTTCCTCACAGTAGGTAGTCAGGATGGACCTTTTCCAGTGTAAATCTAGCAATCTCCCAACTCAGCATAATACTAAACTGCACCTTATAGCCCTCTGAATCAGGCTAAAATTATACAGAATTGGTTTCAACGCCCTGCATGCTCTCTTCTCATCTTTAGGCATTCATCATGCATTCTTTACACTCCAGCCATGCAACTATTCTTTCAGCTCATAAAGCCTACCACGCTCTCACCACCTTGTCTTTGAACATGTTTTGAACTCCAAATCACACAACTATAGCTCCACCCCTCTGGAGTGGGCGACCCCTTGCACTTTGCTCCCATCACACCCTCTTCTATCACCTGGCTGTTACCTTATTAGCCAATGAATTTGATAAGGGTTAGCCTATGTCTTTTTTACTGTATCCCTAAAACCTAGTACAACACACAAGAGCACTTTTAAAATAAAAGAATACATAATCAAGGAATCTAAGCAGAAAGTGGTATCAGAAGCCCTTGTAATGGATAAAGTTGTCAAGAGTGAATATGATAGAGGACCTAGCCAAATGATCTACAAGAAAAGATAAACCACTACTGTGGAAAGATGAGAACAAGGCTAGTTGGATACTATGAGTCACAAAACAAAGATTATGGATAATGAAGACAAACAATTTGGTGACAAATGCTAAATCCTTTTAGGAGAAGACATGGTATAAATATCCCTGTATGTTACCATTTATTAATTTTTAAAAATACAGTTGATAAAAGAAATAAAAAATTATTAAGCAACCTTAACTATATATAAGACTTACTCTTTTAGTTAATATTTTTTAATTTTTCTGTCAGATAGTATTTTAAACCATGGAAGTATGTTTTTATTGCTATAAAGGCCTTTATTGCTATAAGGCCTTTATTGATTCCAATCGAATCTGGTAACTACAAATACTTGCCATTGGAGTGCAGGTAAAGGTCGAAGAGGGTATGAGCAGATATATGGTAACGGAAAAATATATAGTAAAAAAAAAAGAAAAACTAAATAAAAATACTTACCGTTGCCATATGGAAAAGCACGTGCAGAACGACTATCATAACCAGAGGAATGTCCACTGTTGAAGAAAAATGTATTTTTATGTGTTACTATTAAGATTTAAATTTTAATAGTTTGGCACAAAACATAAAAGCAGAATCATGACTTATCTAACCACATTATAATTATAAGCTTTAATTCTGTAATTTTACTTTTAATACTAAAAACACAGGCTTTTCAACCTCCAAAAAATATACCCAACCTAACATTCAACTGTAAAGAAAAATATAGCTTGCCAGTACTATTTAACACAAATAATCCAATGAATTCATCTTAACTCACAAGATAACAAGAAATTTTGAGGCTAACAGAATATTTGAGACTTAGTTCAAATTTAGTCTTAAAAAAAATTGGTCTTAATGGTTATAAATCAGAAATTCAACCCCACTGACAAGATCAACAAATAATATTTTAAAAAAAAAAGACTTTATTTATTTTTAGAGAGGGGAAGGGAGGGAGAAAAAGAGGGAGATAAACATCCACATGTGGTTGCCTCTCCCATGCCCCCTACTGGGGACCTGACCTGCAGCCCAGGCACGTGCCCTGCCTGGGAATCAATCTGCCAGCACTCAATCCACTAGGTACCCAGCTAGGTCTCTACAAATAACACTTTTAACATTTTGATTGAGAAAACAAATATATGTCTAACAAGGACTTAATAAAATTAAGTCTTTATGTTCTCAACAAGTCACCCTTCACTGAGTTTTATAATTTTCTTTGAAAATCTTATGCAGGGGTTTGATGCTACTGATGTAGTAAGGTTCTTACAATTTTTGTCTTTTTATATAATTTAAATCACTTTTTCAGAAATACACTACTTTTATAGTTTATTTGCCACTTTAGCAGAAAATAGCAGCCACTATGTATTAGTGATTTCTATCTATTAAGAATTACACCGATGCTTTTTATTTACTAGCTGTTTTAATCTTCGCAATTCTATCAAACCCATTTGGAAAAAAGAAGAAAGTAAGTCTCAGAGAGTAGTTATGAACTTGCCTAGCAACACAAAGCTGGTCAATTATGAAGGCTAAAATTTGAACCAGGTCTTTGTGATTCCAAAGTCTATGTTGTTAAACAGTATATTGTCATTCCACAAGGTAAATATTCTTTGGAATAGCAGTCCAACTAACATAAAGCATGAATGCAGAGTATAAACGTAAGGCTATTCTCATGCAAAATAGATCCAATCCTCCTTTGTGGAAGCTGAGCTGCAAAGGAATAGGCAGCTTTTCTTAACTATTGTCCCTGATAATAGTTGTCCTTACCCAATCCTAAAACAGACATGCATTATTCATGGTTACCAGTCAGCTGCTTGCACTTCCCACAAAATTGACTATAGCCAATTTTTTAAATTATCAATTTAGGAGTTTCTTTAATCAGTGTGTCATAAATCAAAGGAAAATATTTCAAAATACTATCTTTTAGTTTTCTTTTTGTTTTGTTATTGGGTTATACGGGTCCAACATCTTACATAAATTTAACTATCATAGATCTAGACTTATTAATTAAAAGGCAGGTACTACTGTTTAAAAATTAAATCTTTGAAAATATTACCAAAATATGTGTATGATTTTTCTGTCAAGTCTATCAATGATAAAAAACTTACAGTATACACAATGATTTACCTTTCTATTGTTGGTATAAGAGATGGAGGTGGAGCACCTGGTGGAGGAGGAAAACCTGAAACATTCAATCATAAAAAAAAAGTTAAGAGAATGTGCACTTAATGTCAAGAGTAAAACAAAGTTGCTGCATATCACTAAATTTTCTGGGGACATAACATGCTTCTCTATGTTATAATGGACAGAAAAAATGGAGTTTAAACTTATGAACAGATAGATATTGAAGTAATAAAACTTTAAATGAGCAGTCTGGTCTAATACACAGAGCACAAACTGGGAGTCAGGACACCCGGTCTTATTTTCAGCACCACACACAGCCCATTTTGTGAGTATGAGAAAGTTAATTTCAATGCCTTACCTTTTCCATATATAAAACGGTAGTAGTGTTGCCACCAGATATGTTACACTTGAAATATTTTAGAAGGAAAGCAAATAAAATAACATTTACCCCTTTCAAAAAATATTTTGAGTTTCTGATGTATAATTTATAAATAAAATCTTACCAGTAGATATAATAAATGCTTAGCACTGAGAATATCCATCATAAAATGTTTTAATAGCACAACCCTAAACAACTATTTTTACAAAGGCAGGCACATAATGCAGTTTTACATTAGTTTGGAAAGAAAATAATTTGCACTTTATATCATGAGGTCTGTATTCTCAATAATTTGCAATACCTAAATGAAATACCACAGAATGTGGCTAAAAGGGACCTTAACAGTTAATCTACTCTACGCCTTCAAATTAAGACAGGCAAAAAGAATCCCAACAAAGACCTTAAGATTCCACAATTTATGAAACCAATTCCTTCCAAGTTTTAACAACTCTTACTATTAAGAAATGCATTAAATTATATTATTTATATCTCACACTGCAATACAAATGCTCTCCTGAATGAGGACAAGAAACAATCCATTGTCATACTCTCTAACACCTACATATTAAAAACATTTCCACTAGGCCTCCTTTTTAGTGTTCTATATAAAAATGAATCCCAGTTTTCTTAACCCTTCTTAAAAGTCCAATTAGATCAGCTTTGGCCCTGCTTCAAGTTGTTTCAAATTCACCATCGCTCACCCTCACTGTATCCAGTTTTAGGATTTATAAATCCTCTACTGAACATCTTACAATATAGAGTTTAGCAATTACCACATTAGTCCTTTGAAGCCACAATCTTATTTTATACAGTCTTACAATCACATTTCTTTTTAAACTGAAAAAAGAAAAACAACAAAACCCCACACCAATGATTCCTTTATAATAACTTTCCTGGTAGGTCTTTTTTCAGCCATATTTCATAGACAATCAGTGACTCTCTCACATCTAAACATGTACACTCACCTATGCTGTCTAAACTCCACCATTTCTGTTTATCAAGGTCTTTTTCAACTTAGACCCACTCTTCCAGGCACTGTCACTTCTCATTTTCTTTATGCTCCCTGGCTTTAAATACTGAACTCAGTTAGTACACCTGCAATCACATCTGCATCATACTACTAAAAACAAACAAACAAAAAAAACCCTGAAAAATTTTTTAAAAATCCAAACACTGGGCCACATATACACTGTTAATCATGCCATTGTAACAATGAACAATTAAATCACCATTCAAAGAACAACCATCTCTGTCCAGTTATCAATCTACCTAATAGTGTGGTTCAAAACTCTCATGATAATGGATTATGCCAGCAGGGTAAAAAAAAATCAGAAACCATAACAAAGTCAGGATAAATGATCTTTCTCATCTCTTGCAGTCACTATACCATATAAAAAATTCCTTGGTATTTTTTAATAAAAATTTTATTTTCTATCCTATACTGAGTTTTCTTCAACAAATTGATATGGTGAGAATTTTCTCAGAATCTCTATTTCTACAGAAATGGGTAAGACAGGTATAAGATAACTAATTATCTTAATCAAAACTGGAATGAAGCAAAGGCAGAGCTGAAAATAGGACCTTGAAATCCCAAAAGCCTGTTCCATATTCTATCCGTATCAACACTGTCCCTCCTGTAACTATAGGCTTGAAATTTCATGTTTATTAACAATGATGGAGAAAACATGTAAAAAGTTTTACCTGGAGGTGGTACAGTTATTGGAATACCTAAAAAACAAGTGATGAAATTTAATATAGTAATTGGATTTTATAATGTTATGTATTTATGCCATCACCAAAAAAAAAAACAACAAAAACAACAACAAAAAAAACCAAAACCAAAAAACAAAAACCCCACACCTTTGAAATAAAACCCCTCGCTTCATTTTCCTAGCTTATTCACTCAAGAGAAGCATTCTGTTTTCTTGAAGAGGACCAACAACTTGAGTGTGTAACATTGACTTCCTGATGAAAACCATATCTAACAACTTGATAACAAGTTTCCCCCACAAGCTGTAATCATAATCAAAGTTTGACATCAGTTAAAAAGCACATTTGTGCATACACAAATATCAAACTCTATGAAAATAACACTAAGTTTGATCATCAACATCTGATCTTGTTATTTTAACATTTTAATAGGGAAATTGATCAATGGTCTCTTTAATACTGTAGATACTGCAAGATAACTCTTAAGATGATGGATATTCACTTAGTAAAGCTTTGTGGGACATTCACGTGTTGACTGCGATTGTTTTACTGTTGAGGAGTGGGGAAAGGTTACTTCCCTTGTTTTGTGGGAGTAGAAAAAGGGGTTACAGCTAATTAATATATATACACCCACAGGGCACATTAAAATAAATGTAGACAACTTACTTCTATAGGACTCAGAAAAAAAATGAGTGACTCTCACTCATTTGCACACATTATAAACTAAGAAATATTCAACTATGTACAAACATTCTCAGTTTACTTTTTATCAAATGTGCCCTTACATCCTAATGTAAAACTTATGTGGTATGCACACTGTAACTACTTTTGTTTGAAGAAAAATTACATTACTAAATAGAAAAACAGAAAAAAATTAAAAACTATTTCATGAAAATATTATACCATAAATAGCTTCAAAAGAGCAGAACTGGTTTACTAAATTCTATCGTAAGAATTGTGAACTGTATTGAAATGAGTCCAGAGAGAAAAAAATAACCTAATTCATCAACTAAATGCATGGGAGAAAATAATGAAAACAGAATCACTTTCAAATGCTTTCTTCTCAACAGAAAATCTGCTATTATTTATTTAAAATTTTTCTCTATGTTTTACCAGAATAGGTTTATATAAAAAGATCTTAAGGCAGCAAGTAGCCTTAAAATGGATAATGACACACCTGATTTAACCACCATGCAATAAAAGGATATAATAAACTTAACAAAACCAACAAGATTGTACAAGATAGGTAAAGCAGCCATCATCTTGGAAAAATTATTAGGCCTCCATAAGTCTACTTAAACTGATCTACACTTAATAATGATTCTCATTTATCCTGTGGTTATCCTTCTACTTTCTAAGTTACTAAACTATAAGAATCCAGCGAACAATACAAACTAGCAGAATTCCAGACACCTAACTAAATGGGAAAAGGCAGGACACATTCAATGTTTTTATTAATATCCACTATTACATGATTTTCTTTAGAACAGTATAGGTTTTTTTGAGCACTACTGAACTTCACTATGTAACCTAGTTTTTACATTTAAACACCCATTTACTTAGGTGTATATGATAAAGAACTATATCAAAGCTGGCAACCCACTCTGTATCCTAACAACTTTACCTGAATGAACACATGAGCAGCATGTATCATTTCAGCTAATACATTCAAACCACTTACTAAAATGCGAATTCATACAAAATAACTAAATTACTGGTCAGCCCTCTCAATATTTAGTCCTCAAAAACATTTAAGTTATCAAGCTTTTCACAAAACAAAGATATATAACCAAATTGTTTAGTCTGCTTTTAATTTGAATCTTACTACAACAGTATCATAGGACAGATTTAAAAAAAAAAAAATAACCTGCACGAAATTAGGAACACAAAGGAAAATCATGCTATCTATATAGACGCCTTTCCAATCAGTATCCACACATCAGAAAGTTGGCATGACAACTAGAAAGGGACCTTTTCGTGAGATTTCTATTCCACCTAAGATATTTCAATGTAAATCTTTATTGGTAAATGTTCACTGAAACTTAACTATAAAGTTGATTAAATGCTATACAGTCAATTCTTTGACAATTATCTAATGTATTTTTAAAATGCGTAATATGTTAGGCCAACATAATTCTCATCTAAAAATCACTATTTAGCATTTGACTTTGTTAACCGTGTAAGGGAAGAAAAATTCACCTCAAAAATCCCTTTCTCCTCCCTCAACACACCCACCACCTTCCTGGCCAAAGGCATGTGCTGCCTAGACAACAGACTTGAAATATACAAGGCAAGTACTTTGTTTCTTTTCTGCATCATTATCTGTAAAATGAGTAGGGAAAAAGATGTTTATTTTCCTGGAAAGCCTTGCATAACAGCAGTAAAAGTGGACTTCTAGTACTGGCCAAAAGCTTTTCCATTAGTGGTTTTGAAACTTCTCCACCAATCTGAAGAACCACCTAGAGAATTTGTTAAAACACAGATTGCTGGACCCTCTCCCCTAGAATTTCTCATTCAGTGTCTGGAGTGGAACCAGAAAACCTGCATTCTAATAAGGAGATGATGGTGTTGCTGACCAAAGACCATACTTTGGGAATCAATGGATTAGATTCTAAACTTTCTCCTTTGCACTGCTGAACACCTCAATATTCAATATAGACAAAATAAACTCTACTACAAATTTTTATTAAATAAACACAGTGTGTGACACTTTGAAGCAGAAAAGTACAGCTGTATGACAGCCTATACTATCTGGCATCCTCAAAAGAAAGAGAAGGGACAGTAATTTTTCCAGTATGCAACACTAGAATGTAAATATAAAATGTAAAAGCTCTTAAATGTAAAGTGTGAGAGTAGGGGGGCCTGAAATGCTATTTCAGGGACTAAAGGAACTGAAGCAAAGAAAAAGAAAGGCAGCATACCTGCAAAACATTATCCTAAAAAGAATTTTTAAGTTCTCACAAAATTCAGAGGCAACAACAAAATGTGGTTATTCAACAACAAAATGAATAAAAATTATCTAAGAACTCATTTTTAATTTATCTCATTATTTGTATAACTAAAGCAAAAAAGAGTTACCTGATAGGCAGCCCATAACATGACTTCCAATGATCCCTGAGCCTCCTGGTGTTTATACGTTTTTATACCTGTGGTATTTATATTCTCCCCTTAAGTAAGTCCTGGCTAAATATAATGACTTGTTTCTAACAAACAAAATACAGCAAAAATGATGGGATGTCACTTCCACAACTACGTTTCAAAAGACAGTGACTTCCGTTTTGCTGGTATCCTCTACTGTCTTCTCAGCATTCATGAAACAAGCTGCCATGTTGGAGAGAATCAGTCAAGCATACAAGATGACCATCTCAAAGTCTGTTAGAGACCTTGAAGCAGAGGACGCAGCTAAGCTGCCTCCACATTCCTAACACACAAAAACTATTAAATAATAAATATATTGTTGTTTTAAGCCAAATATGTTCTGGAATAATTTATTATGCAGCCATAGCTAAGACATATAAAAGCTACCTATCATTCCTCTATTAAGCTAAAAAAAACACCACACACACATACATGGTAGAATTAGTTTTGTGGTAGGTCCTCACTGTTAACTTCAAATTGTTCCTAGTTTTTATTGGTAACTTCCAAATTCCAACAACATTATTATGTTACAAATAAATAAGCCTGATCACTTTCCTTAATGATTTTTACGTCAAAGTCAGAGAGCCCATACATACATAAGTTCTGCACAAAGAAATGTCAAGACTTAAAAAATTATTACATATCACCTTCCACTACATGCTTTTTTCTTTGTAGCAGTAATCTTAAAATTAGATACATACACCTATCACCTACCATTTACTCTTTAAGAAAAAAAGAAACAGGATATAGAATAGTATAAAACTATTTTTTAATAATTAAGGTGAAATAATTATAAAATAGAATGGAAGTAATTGTAAAGAAAAAAATATATATTAAAAGGTGCTGTAGTCACAAAACTTAAAGCAACAAAGTTACCAAAATACTTCATACCTTAGTAGGTAAAAAAGATGATTTATGCTAACTATAAATGGAACTATTTTATCCCTTTCAGGATCTCTTACTCGGGCAGTTTATAAAATAATCTACAAGCTACAGAAAGTAAAATTCTGTTAAACAAACAGAAACAACTCTGATAGAAATTTCAGTATTTTTACAAAAAAAAAAAACTTGTAAAGAAACTGATCTCTGTAAGCTCATATACAATCACAAAATGACTGGAAGTCACACAAAAAGCAAATACTAAATTATACTTCAATTCTACAAAATGCAGCCTCTATATTATTAAAAATATAGCTATTATAAAGGGAGTGTCCATGGGCAAAAAAAGATATTCAAAAATCAACATCCTAAAATTTAATCACCATTCAAAAGAAGTTTTTAGTTTCTATTAAACTTACATTTGAGTTCATTTTTAATTGTGCCAGAATATACTACTTATTACAAATAACTAGCATTAGTTCCTATTTTGAGTTTATTAAAAATACAATAGACTATTAAGTTTTTTTAACATAGAAAATGAGTATAGTTCTCAAAAACTTCAAGGAATTCTTTTGCAAAGGTACTTCTGTAAAATATATTTTTGGCAAATAGCACTAGTTAATAAGCAGATTTGCTGTGTTAAGACCAAAAAGCTTCATGGAACTGTAAAATGAACACAATGTTATATTCATGAAAAAGGTTATCAACTAGAGACAAAATTGTACTTCCTCAAAGGTGCTAATAATATTCATCCAATATAGGTCAACCTTCTGCCAAAGCAGCAGTTCTCAAAGTCCCACCTGGAAATTCCTGGGGGTCCCCCTAAGGCCTTTCTAGAAATACACAAGGTCAAAACAAAACTACTTTCATAAAAATACTAAGAATTCATTTGCCATTTTCACCTTCATTCTATCACAGGTCTACAATGAAGTTTTCCAGAGGCTACGTGACATGTGAAACAAATAGGACAATCCAGTTTTCTCTTAAGCCACACAGTAAAGAGATTGCAAAAGTGTAAAACAATACCACTCTTTGCACTAAATGTTTTTTGTTGTTCTGGAAAAATAGTTTTTCAAAAAAATACTTTAATATTAATATGTAACAGGTTTATTTTAGAAAATAAATTTATTAAATATAATATTGTAATTTCTCAGTTAAGATCTAATATTTTAAAAAGATGTAATAGGCATAAATAAAAGCTCTTTGGGGTCTGTAGTAATTTTTAAGAGCATAAAGGAGTCTGTGACCAAAATGTTTGAGAGCCACTGTGCTGAAATCAGACTGCTAACTGAAAAATATTCTAAAGACATGGTGCAATTTGGAGGAAATGCAGAAGACTCCACATGTATGCTGCTTTTCTCCCAAGCCCCATCTATCATCACTGACCCCAGTTCAAGATATTTAAGGAATAAAGTTGTAGGGTTCATATAATTTGTTATACTAGATGAGCAGGAAGACACAGGCACACCTGACAATCTTTTAGGAAGAAATCTAATTCCTTCTAAAATATAGAAGCTTACACATTTTGAAATCTAAATAAACAGCTGAACCTTATATCCAATTTTAAGTGCTGGGATGACCTGTCTGTGGTCCTGACTAGTTGGGCTACATCTTAGTAAAGTAAGAAGCCTTCTTCAATGTAGTAGAATTCTGCTGAGCTAGATTTCAACTGTTCCCAAGACATACAGAACCACAGTCACATAAGCCTTAATACTGATTAATATAACAAGAAATGAGTTAAACTGAATATGCCTTCTGTCAATAAAATATTATAAAAACATAAAAATAAAACATGACACTAAATTAACATTTAAAACCCTAAATGAAATGTAATATAGGTTGAACGTTTTAAAAAGTTTGTTTACAATCATTAAAATAAGCCAGACACCAACAAATATTGAATGATTCCATTTACATCAGTTACCTACAAGAAGCAAATTCATAGAACAAACAGAGGCTACAAAAAGGAGCTGGGGTAAACACGAAGGGGTGTTATTGTTTAGTGAGTTCGCAGTTTTTGTTATAGATGAGACAAAGTTTTAGGTACAGATTCTAGTGACGACTGCACAACATTGTTAATATATTTAATGTCACTGAATTATACATTTACAAAATGGTTAAAATCGTATTTTGTTAAGTATATTTTTACCACAAAAAAAATCAACTACTCTATAACATCAATCCTTCCAATTTTACAATTTTTATTCTAATAAACATGAATTTCAAAATTAGTTTATCTAGTGAACATAGACTTAACACAAATCAGGCAAATATTAAAACCTCATTTAACTGATTTTTTTTTAAATCTGACTTCCGCTCTTTACATCTCTGTAACTTTCCTACACACATACACACAAAACTTCAACTTGAAGAAAATGCTTAAAAAGAAAAACAAAGCTTTTAAGACATGTTATTGGGGTGAATCACATAATCCAATAATGTAGCCTTCTTGACACAGGTAATGATTCGCTTCAACATAGTTAATGAAATAGGCTTTCAAGCAAAACTGCCTGGGTTATTAGAATTCTGGTTCTGCTACTTTTCTAGCTAATGTTTAAACTCCTTGAGTCCCAGTTCCTGCATCTGTAAAATTATTTCTACTTCTAATGCTGTCAAGAATAAAACTGAGTTAATACAAGAAGTATGCTTAGAACAATGTCTTCAATAGTTAAGCATTAAACAAATATTAGCTATTATTTGTTCCATTACGCAGTGAAAGAAACCACACTAATACAACAGATGCGGTCCACTAGAAAATGAAGATAGATTTTCTGCAAATTAGGGAAGACCTTGAATAATTACTATTTGTTTTTAAGATATGGTTAGTACAGCAACTAGGAACCAGATTAAATATTTTTCCATTTAAAAAATACAAAAGTCTTGACATTAATTTAGAACCACAGGGCCCTGATATGTTTATTTTGCCCTCCAATACAAAACCTCTTCTATTTTTCATACTAATCTATTACAACCAGAAATACTTCATTCTCTCTGTTACTAAGGTCTCATGAATGTTGGTATATGTGTGTTTCAGGCGGAGAGGAGGCAATATACTCATCCTCTTCTATTAACTATCTGACAGTAAATGTCCTCTGAATGAGCATTGTCTATCACACCTCACATTGCTAAGGAGTAACTATCTATTTATACAATAAGCCAACTACAGAGGTGACTAAAAATTTTATCCTCCAAAACAGGGCATTTCTGAGTGAATAATTATGTAGAGGAAAAAGGTATAAAGTAGCACCATTCTAGGCAAATCTAGATATACGGTCACCCTATTTATTAAAAAAAATGGGTGTAGCACCCCAAAATATGGGCTTAACATATCATTACTTATTTGTCCCATCATATACAGGACTACAGTTTTAAAAATTTATACATTTGAAAGCCAATGTTAACAGAAGCAAAATTAAAATATGTTTAAATTAATTCTCAAAGATTTTTTTCCTTTTAGTATTTCTCAACAGGCACAAAGAAAACCATTATTTCTTCTGGAAAAATGGGGCTTATTTATTAAGGCAATCAATACTTACAAAAACCCTCTCTCGAGTTGGCTTTCTTTCATTAGCTGCTTATGATTCTTAAGGTGATATAAATTACAGCAAACTCAATAGAACATACTGTAATCACATGGTTCTTTGGTAAGTAAGTTAAAATGTAGCTTTAGTCAAGGCCCACATGCAGCTGGCATATATCTATGCAGCCATAGTGTTGTTTGAAGCCAGTGCCCATTTTGATTGGTAAGTGCCTGTGTGACTGTACCAACTGTCAACCTGAAAATCTCCGTTACAGATATATAAATATGTTTCTAACTTAATTAACATATTTAGAGTATGTCAAGCATAAACAAGACATCTGTGATTAGTGCTGTGGGGGAACATACTCTCCTCGACAGCTTACAATCCAGTAAAAATGAGGAGTAGTTCCGTTAGCCTCAACCTAGAAATATTTGGTTTTTAATATGAATTGGTATCTTCCCCCACCTCACTCCAGCAAATACACCAATGTTAGAGTACTGCTTAAACCAGCATTAAAACTCATCTGAATTTGTATTTCCTAAATGTTGATAGGACAGCATGAAGTGCAATCCAAAAAGAAGCATCAAAGAAAATCTGGATAGTTATTTAAAATACAGAAAGCATGTGCTTGAAAATTAATATTGAATACAGAGCTTATGCAACAGAAAAATAATCTGTCACAGAATAATGTCACAGGTAATGTATACATTATTAAAAGATTTGTTACCCTTGTAAAGAAAGATTATATGGCAAAATATGGAGTAATTTTATCATTTAAAAAAAGCCTACTGCCAGATAATGCCACTGTCTATCAGCAATATCTTCCAGAGCTACTAAAGATTGTTGTATCAGTGACATATTTATTTTTTCATCATTACTATATATCACCACTCTCTCACTTTAATAAACAGCTAGTGTTGAACTACATAAAATGTTAGCCATCTGGAGATATACTATTTAGCTAGTAAATAAGAAAACTTTCTTAAATGACTTTTAGTACCTAATAAAATTTAAATAAGGTTACAAAGCAATCTAGCATAAGACCTATTAACACATATAGTAATCATCTTTTAGTCTCATTAAATCAAATATGTTCAAAATGAACTATTTCTATATTTTATTTTTTTCAGAGGACAAAGAAAGCACTTATGAATCAGTAAGTTCTCATTGCTTCCCCTTATTTAGTTAATTCTCAACGTATTAAAGACACAAAAATCTTGGGTCAAATCACAACTTTGGGTTGTATATTTCAGAACAAAATATTCTTGTTGGAACAAGAATTAACGAACTTTAGAAATAACGTTGCCTGGAATAAGCACCTCTAATCTATCCAGTCTTCTCTTCCTCTATTTTTAAGACAAGATTCTCTATTGCCAGAGACATTTTTCATAATAATTTTTAAATCCTTTTGAAGATAGAGGTGACAATGGAAGGAAATCAAAGTTGCTGTGGCTGAGGGGCTGAGAGATAACTGACATTTAGAGTCCAAGGACTGCTATAGGAAAGGACATTTGTGACTCTTTGCCTCTATACTCTGATCCTAACTGACATTTTAAAAATAAGATAGCTCTCCTGTAAATGTGAAGTGAGCAAGTGGCCATTGCTCTTAGGCATAAACTGACATATGTTACAGCCTTAACATATATTACACATGTACTCCTGATTAGGAATGATAGCTAATTTTTTTTTACCATATACTATGGGCATTCTCCGTAGGAAAAAAGTAATTATTATCTCAACCAATCCTGTTAGTTTCATTAACAACTGTTTACGGGGAATGAAATTAAAAGCTTTTGGGAATAAAAAAAAAGGCTACTGGATGAAAGGTTGAAAGTATAAAATTTGGGGATTATCTGTAATTTTTTTTCTATTGCCACTGATCTAATTTTTAATAAATAATCAGAAGTGGCTACAAATATGACAAAAAACTTTACATTAAATATTGTGTCTCATTTAAAAGAAGTAAATACCAGGTACCTGGCACCCAGAAGTAGTCTCCTAAAAGGAAACCAGGATACAAAGAAAGAAGATGACCAGACTGAGATTTTCATTTTAAAATTCCTTCATAGGTTGTTTTTTTTTTTTTTTTTACCTACTCCAATTCTAAAAGTATCTTTAAAAGTTTTTCAAAACAAGTTTACATGATTTATAATTTAATATGGACTTACACAATGAGGAAATTTAGTTTGGAGAATATGATCATCATTTTGGATCATAATTTTAATATCTGTACATTCTTCTCTATTTTAGCAGTCTCTTTTCTATGTTGAAATAGCAAAACATGCATTTATCTGCTTCAGTGTGAATCTACTTAAGACAACATAATTTTGTGTCTATTATTTTTACTGCGGTGCAATAAGTGAAGATGTTATTTTTGAAATATATATTTTAATTGTTAAATTCAAAACAAATGAAACATTCATGGGTTATTATTTTTTTCAAAACCGAATGTCTTATGTACTATTTACCTGGTGGTGGAATCAGAGGTGGAGCAGTGCTGACAGTTGGAGGAGGTGGGAGAAATGGAGGAGGAGGAAGGTGAGTGGGAGGAGCTCCCGGAGGGAAAAATGGAGGTGGTTTGCTAAAGTTGTTGTCTACTTCAGTAGCAGATCTTTCAGAAAGGACCTAAAATTAGAGCATAGTTTATTAAAAAGATGAATAAATGTCATTATCTGAGATTAAACTCAATAAAATAATTTCATTTTATCTAGCAATCAAAGTAAAAAGTTTTATTTAAATACACATATTTGAGGAGGCAGGACTAATTTTCTGTGTGTGATGTGTGTGTATATACACACGGATGTAAGCATACACTTGCACACATATTTAAAGCAAAGAAAAAAAACAACTGAATCATCACAGGAAAGTTCTTAATAAGAAATAATTAAGTGATAAAAATATTCTAAACAAGAGAAAATTAAGTACTTTATAAATAAAACGTAATAAGGATTACCTTTATTACCCAAAGTTAAAGTATTCAAATTTAAGCAATGTAGTCATTAGTGTCAGATACTAGCACTAAGAAATTAACGCAGCAGAATCGGATATTTATTTTAACAGGGCCTGCCATCACCAGGGCGCTAAGAGACCGGAAAGCACGCATCAACAGGGTGCAAGAGGGAGCCAGATACATAGATAACCTTTTTGTGTGGCCCTTGTAACTTTAAAAACAAGGGTTTCTATTTGAAAAGTAAAAGTGTTTACAAAATACTGACCTGTGTGAACAGGTAAGGGACAGGCACCAAATCTACAGGGGACTGGCATTTAAAAGTTGGGATTTTTGACAAGTTTCCTGAGGGGTTTTAATGTGTAAACACGTTTAGAAAACATAGCAGAAACAGGCAACATAATATTGAATATAGAGATTATACTTCTCAAATCCTTACTAAAGCACATCATTTAAACATATAATCCTTCCTTGCATTAATTCTTCCTGTATTTTTGGACAGCAATTTTTTTGTAAGGCCTATGCTGATAAGCTATTTTTTAATGAAGGAAATAGATTTATTTTTAAAGATTATAGAATTTTGATGGTGGGGGGAAAGAAAAAACTATCTTCATTTTAGAAATGATTTACTTTTAAAGATGCTAAAAAGAACACTACATGATTAATTTATTAAACGTAATGGAAATCAAAACACTATGGACATTTTTACTCATGAGAAGAAAATAACTAACAAAAGAGAAACAGATACAGAGAACAGACTGCCAGCTGTCAGAGAGAAGGGGACTGGGGGGGTAAAAGAGGTGAAGGGATTAAGGGGAAAAGAAATGAAAAACTCTTCTAGACAGCAGCATGGAGATTACCAGAGGGGAACGGGGTGGAAGAAGCCATTAGAGGGTATAAGGGGGAAACGCATCATGATGGGAGGAGACTTGGGGTGATGAACACAAAATACAATATACAGATGATATATTATAGAATTGCACACCTGAAACCTATATAATTTTATAATCAATATCACACCAATAAATTCAGTAGAAGAAAAGGAAATAGGTAATAAAATTAAGTGTGGTCAAGCTAATAGCTGAAAAGTTTCAGTTGCTACAATAATAACTTAAATTTCCCCAGGTACTAATCACTCATCCCCTTTCATCCTTACCCTTGTAAACACAGGACTTATTTGTTTTATAAGAAAATCAAGAAAAGCCACGTTATATAAATTATGATATATCCATATAATGAAACTATTATAAAGAGATTTTAAGTTATATTTTTAAGAATATGAGAAAATGCAAATGATAATTTCAAATTTAAATAAAAAAAGGATACACAAAAATGTAATAGTATCCCAATCTTGCTTAGTGACAAATAAGAGATGTATCAGAATGTTTAGAGTGGTTATGTTTACATAGTAGAATTATCAGTGGTTTTATTTTCCTCTTTAGTCTTTCCCCATATTTTCTTCTTTTTATCCAATGAAGCCATACATTGTTTATAACAAGGAAAAAAAATCTTACTAAAGAAGACCCAAAGGTTATAAATTCTAAATGGAAAAGCTTTTGAAATAAAAGGGTGACTGACTCTGTATTTTAAATCTCTTTGTATCACGTAACACGATGAATATATATTGAATAAATTAAAACATGCTTATATTTTTTAAGTTAAAAAAATAATAATTTTAAAAATACTAAACCTGTATGTTGCTATTTTCATTTGCCCGTCGCCTTCCTTCAACTCGGCTGATAGTTATAGTCTGACCAATAACATCAATTGCCCCAGGCAATCTCCTGTAACATAAAAATTGAATCAATTCATTTTCACCTAAACAGATATTCAAAAAAGAATATAAAATATCAGGCGAGAATAAATTTAAAACCCTATGCAATGTACTTTAAAATAAAATTAGATTATAAAACACATTGAAAAAACTTGACTAAATTAATTAAACTTTTCTATTTTGCATGGTCATAAAAATTATATTCTTATTAATAAGCTTGGACCAACATACCCAATGATGATTATAAGGTTAGATTTTAAGTATTTTTATAAGTTTTCTTCTAAGTTTAGTATTTTTTAATACTATCCAACTGAATTTATCCTTGTGGAACTGAATCAGGTAGCAAATGCTAAACAAATGGAAATAAGTTTTGGCCATGATAATTATAACAAATAGCACCGCTCTATTACAGGAAATTTTAGAAATACCCCTAAAAGGCCTGAAAAGAAGTAATATTCATTTTGACAAAGGATATTTTCCTTAGTGACTTACATTTCTGATAACTTGCCTTTAGATAGAAAAGTTCAAATATTTAAATGCCTGCCACACCTTCAATTCTATTTACACTGCATTAAAGTATATGAGTAGATGGAAAATAGTCTGCCTTGTGGCATATTCAGCAGGAAAATCTAGTAAGTTAAATTTTTAAAAACTGTTAAAAGCCATTTAGTGTGGTTAAGGACTTGATAGAAAGTATATATGCTTAATAAGATACAGAAATGACTTGTAGGAATAGGCAATGAAAAATGGATGTAAATTATATGAATTTCTTTTTCATCTATTATTTCAGTTATGAACAATCCTGCCTTTAAATCTTTATGAAAACAACCAAAATACCATACATCTGTCCAGTCACCAGATTACGTTCCTAAAATGACTAAAAATGGCAGCTACAATTTGTTGAATGCCTATATATTTTACCAAACCTCACAGTAATCCTTAACTTAAAAAAATTACTGTATGCTGTTAAAAATTATAAAGTTAGGGCTCAGAATGATGTCACTGACCTCAGTAACAATTAAATGGCAAAACTAACTTTCAAACCCAAGTCTGATTCCAAAGCTTATATAGACCCTTCCCTTGAACAAAGCTGCCTTCCACCAAGATAAATGGCCTTGAGAAATGCAAGGCTTATGGAAAATCAAGAATTGGTATAAGCTTGCCTCAAGTGAAGCCTGAAAAGCCCCATAATTTTAGGCACACAAAAACAAAACACACAGCCCTTTTGAGTATACAATGGTACTTGAAATGTCTTAAATTACAACCAATTCCAACTTACCGTCTTGCCCACTTTAAGACTCTGTTCTCTATAATTTTAATCCAATTTTTTTAAAAGTGCAAGCCTTTCCAATTTTATGACTGGGTCATTGACTTCCTAGGGTTCCCTCATGATCAAGAGTGATTTTACTTAAATTATACCCTTCAATATATCCTAGCATTAACATATTAGAAAAATCCAAATACCTTTACCATAAATATTGTTCCAATTTCTTCTCCAAAACTTAAAATAATTATAAAGCTATGCCCACTATAAACTTCCTATCAAAGTACATGCTGTTAGTCCTTAAAAAACTTTGTTAAGATTTCTGATACATGCACAAATCTCAGATTCCAACATCCTAACGACAGAAGTATGTATTCTGAGGCCCAGGATTTTCCTCACCATTTATTGCTACAAAGACTTCATTGTAAAAATCTTCATTTCTACTATTTTTTTTCCCATTCTTTTCTATTCTCAGTTGCTGGACTCTCTTCTTTCCATACTTTTAAATTAAAGCCATGAAGAATAATTCTCAGAAATTTGGAGTTGCAATTTGGACCGCAAATTCTCCAAATTGGTAAAAGTAGCAAAAAAAAATCTAGATATAATATTCCAATTTTTGTGCTGGGGAAAATATTTCTATAACCTTTTACCATGGATTTAAAAAACTCTGCAGCATACAGGAGTGCTTACTTATTAAAGTTCATCTTAAATATCATCAGAAAAGTCTCATTTTTCTCAGCTTTAGATGGATTGTTTAATTACTAAAGATTCAAAATGGCATACACTATGCTTTAAAAACATACAAACGAGATATGAATCTTAAGAAATACATTATCTCTGGAGGAAATCCAGAAATTTTTAATTCCTTACATTTCCATAAAAATAACACCTCCTTGCCCAGGCATTTTTATAATACATATTAATTTACCTTAATCAGAAATGTGAAGGTTACCATTTTGTTTAGAAATGTTTTACAACAGAAATATAAGTATATACCAAAGTTACACAAAAGCACATAATATTTAACATAGATGAGTAATTAAACAATTCAATATTATCCTGACATTATGGAAAAAATACTGAACAGTATTTTTCTAAACATTTTTCATATAATACTTTTTACTTCAGTACAAATTATAAAAGATCTAGTAAAGCGTCACTAATACGATCTTCTATGACTTGGATTGCCACATAGCACAAGATTAACTGGGCTTACAAACTTGTCAATAGGCAGACAGCTAATACAGCTATGAAGATTCTCTTCCTGCTACTGGACTCAATCATATACAGTAGTAAAAAGCTGAAAGAGACAAACTAATCACAGTGATATCTACAGTTTCATTAATCCACAGCGTAATACAGGTACTGAATGTTCACCAGAGACTCTACCTTTCCTCCCAGCAGATACATATAAAAAAATCTCTAATATAATTACATTAAAATGTCATATTTTGATGATTCTGATATTCCAGAAAGTGTATGAGGGCTGTTTATAGAAGAGATAGAACAGAAATTTTAAAAGTGGCAAGGTCAGAGCCAAGGGAAAATGGACCAAAGGTTAGTTAGCAATCTTTTGTCACAAATTTATCTCTGAGCTTATTTAACAACAAAAATAAAGGACATTATTAAAAACAAAAATCTTTAATGTGCATAAGACAAAAACAAAGCATTATCTCTGAAACTGCTGTTCCTAATAATAATAATAATAATAATAGCTGGTGTTTATTGTTCACCTATTATGTGACAGGGAAATACTGCCCTAAACACTCTATATATACAAGTGCTCCTTGCCTAACAATAGGGTTATGTCCCAATAAACTAATCATAACTTGAAAATACTGTTTCCATTAAGTCAAAATATACTTAAAACACCTAATGTACAAAAACATCATATCACAGCTTAGCCTCCCCTACCTTACATGTGCACAGAACACGTACATTTAGCCTACAGTTGGGCAAAATGATCTCATTGTTGATGCCTGGCATCATGAGTGAGTAGCTTGCACCAATCCAGTAAAAGATCAAAGATCAAAATTCAAAATTCAAAATACATGTTCTATTAACTGCATATAACATTTACACTAATATGAAGCCAAAAAATCATCAAGCCAAACCGACATAAGGTGGGGGACCATCTGTATTTACTCCTCATAATAGGTTGCAACTATTATTATTTCCATTTTATAGATGAAAATAAATGGAAAAAATTTTCTCCTTTCAGACCACCTCAAGAGTAAGTATGATGGAGTACAGTAGTTTTTAAACCTTTTAGACCACAAAACAGCTCCTTAAGAAATTAGTTTGCAAAGCAATCTAGTACATACATTATATAAGAAACTAAGTTTCACAAACAACACTTAAGCTTACTATAAGGAAAAGGTAAGATTAAAATCAAAATTTTATTAATATCTAAATATAACACAAAAAATAAACAATACAAAACCAAGAAATATTTTGTGCCTGAAACCACCAAATTGATTTCACATCCCACTAGTGGACCAGAATTCTGTGTTTTGAAAAACACTGAAATAGGGACAAAGTCTCCAATATTTCTACAGTAAAAGCAAAAGTGAATTTCAGTGCGGTTTCTCAAAATATTCCTCAACACTGGGTGAAACATAACAATAATGCACAATTCAACAAAGGTAATTTAATATCAGGGCAAGTAAAACAATATGGTCTGAGTATACAGCCCTCTTAATAACTGTTGGGCTTGATCTAAGAATTTATTTGTACTTTGGAGCAGGAGTCCTCACCTAGAATATCTGAAATACAAAGGGATCAGGAGGTCCCTGAACCTAAATATACGCATATGTAATTATGTACTTTTCAGGCAAGAGTCCACAATTTGCAGCAAATTTTCTAAGGGGTTACTGTTTCAAAGAAAGTTTAGAACCACTATTGTAAAAGAATTAATGAATTATATATCCTTTGCAGAAATCTATTAATGCTGATTTCTCACATCAGAGCTTCTAATAAGAACTGGGCACAGGCAGTTCAAGGGTATATTCTCCAGGGTGGAAAAAATCCCTAGAATGTGGCTATTTCATATTCTCACGTTAAAGACAGGTATCTTTGGGATGAATGTCTAACTCGGGCCATACATCTACACAGATGTCTGTAACAGTACTGCATGAAAAACTGGTACATTTTTAAAGCTACTTAGGAAGGAGATGAGCCTTGAAAGACATATAGAATAGATTTAGCCACATAGGATGGGAATGGGAAGAAATGAGATATAGAGATGAATGTAAACAGAGAAAGGATGTGGAGAAAATATTATATGCAGAATTCCAATTCAGCAAATAGACTACTAATCTGTTTGCAAGAGAAAAAATTTAATCCACTTTTGATAGTGGTTACCAACAAAAAGACTTTCAAAAAGACAAACAATATAAATTAAATAAGGGGATTCCAAGAGGGATGCAGAGTAAGTGTAAGTTACACTAACCTGCTCCCAGCCTCAAATCGAATTTACAGCTAAATCATAGAGCAATCAACCTGAATGACCAACTAAAGGCTAGCTGAACTGATATACTATAACCAAGAATTTACAGAAGAAGCTGCATAAAGACTGGTAAGAAGGGCAGACACACAGAAAAAGCTAACTCCCGCACCCAGGTGCAGCCGCTGCTGGGGGGGATATCACAGCTGCAAAACTGGTTGCAAAACTCCCTCACTCCAGGAGCCTGAGGTCTCAAACCCATATAGGTATCCCTAACCCAGGGCAACAGAGATGGGAAGAG